AAAGATTTAAATATTCCTAGCCTCTTGGTGGCGCCAATGATGAAAAACGTTACAAATTTTGCACATTTAATTTGCAACGAGCTGCAAACATGCTATAATAATAATATATTATATGCAACATCAGAGAACTTCTTTATATTTTCTACAGACAGTTTCTTAAAGCAACAGAGTAAATAATAATCGCGAAGAAGGAATGCATACCTAGCTTTAATGGGAAATTTATACTTAAGGATCCGACGAAGATGGTAATTATGAGTTTACAATTATATTATAATATGGTATTTGTGGAATAACAAAAAATATATATTAAAATAGAAGGAAAAAATAAGACAAAGAAAAGGCAATTTAAATAAATAATAGTTTACCGTACAAAAAAAGTCTGTTGAAATTGCAGTGAAATTCTTACAAAACTCATCTTACAAACTCCATTATAGAACAGTTCATAAAAGATAACCGGAAATTGTTTCAGTGAACGTGATCGAAGGGGATAATCTGAGAATGATGGAACCATTTATTATGGCCAAAACGAATGACCTTTTAGAGTCATAAGTCGGGCAGATGACAGTGCTAAACGCCAGAAGGGGAGAAAAATTCGTTAAGAATACATAGATCTAAAAAAGAATACTAAGAGTTTAAATTTTGTAACGTAAAAGTTTTAGGAGGGAGCACTTGTTATGCTCGAAGAGTTAGATTGGTAAACAGTGTAGAGAATTTTTAGTATATATTTGGTTTTTGGAATCAGATATTGGAGAAATCGAAGAAGCAGTAGAATAAAATGGGTTTGGACGCGTTGAAAAGAGGCAAATGTTGGGGTTGTGTAACGAGAAGTCGCCAATTTAGAGTGAGAGAGAAGATGTTTATAAAACTGTTGTGAGATTAGGAATTTTGTATGGAGCACATTTTAAGCATCTAATAATACAGATGGAATGAATACTAAAGTACCTGGAATGCTGAGATGCATGTGTAGAGTAATTAGGGTGGACATGATTAATAACAAAATATGATAGAGATAAATTGAGTCGGTTTGAGCAGAAAGGATAAAATGAAGGAGACGTTCAACAGCTGTAAAACAGGTACTCAAATAGGCGATTTGTAATTTAACTTGGACTTTAAAAAATACCAGAGACATTGCAAGTGAAAAGGATAAAGGTATAAGCATAAGTTGAAAGGGGGAGAATTAGGATGGCCTACTCTACTGACTACTTGTATAGCATCCTATAAACATAGAAGAAGAGGATAGGGATATGATGTAATCATTAGATGGTAGACTTAGTAATAAGTACATCTGCTTAATTAAATGACTTACTAATAATTATTCAACATACATTGTTCCTAATCGGTAATCCTAATTTATGTTATTGTTGTATAATATGTACCATTTTAAAAATATTATACTGCCATTGAAATGTCGAGTTTATATTTTTTGGCGTGCAAAAAATGAAGACTTTGTTTGAGTGTTGTAATATAACAATTGAAATGAATCAAAACGTATTGTTCTAAATTGACATTTAATTATTCATCCAATGAAATGTCAAAAATGAAGAATTGAAATGTCAAGTACGATGAACAAAAAAATATTGATTATTGCATTTTTTTTTTTTTTGTACGGCATAATTATTAAAAAGAACTAAAGTCAAATGACCTCAAACATTTTGTTAGAGAGAACTAGATTTATATTTGATTTCAGCTGTATTTTTCCACTGACATGTTTCGCGGTATTCTTTAAATGCATTAAATTATAATTTAATCTAGTTTCTTTGCTGAGTTCATTCAGTCTCTGGTCTGTTCTGTTCTTAGAAGCAATGTACATAATATGTGCGAGTTACACTTTGATCTTCTTCTTCCAGATTTTCACGCCCACTGCTACAAAACAAACTTCCTTCAACTATACCTGAAGAAAATCAGTCCATTGCTGGATATGGAAGCGGCGATGGTCCTAAATGCACCGTTCCAAGCCTTCTTCTTTAGCAGAAGAAAGAAGAAGATTTTAATGCTACTTCAATACAGCATCACGTTACTAATGGGATTTAAGCTTAAAAAAAAAGAGTATAGTAAAAACATAATAACTAGTATAAAAATAAATAAATAGAAATGTGTCATAATAAGAAAACCTTTTGTTTATCTTTTTGTAGTATTGTAGTTAACTGTTGTTTATCGAATTTGACAATCCCAGCTAAGACCTTGTCCCAAAGTCCTTCTTCGTTCGATCTAATCTCATGTTATTGTGACTCATCATTTCTCTTAGGTTCATTAACCTCCTTAGACGTTTTCTCTTCAAGACACCTAGATTTATCTCGTCCCCCTTGCAGATGCCTTTCTGGAAACACAAATACGAATATTGGAAAAATTATACTACAATTAGAAAAAAACTTTTTTCAATGTTTGAACGTTTTTTAACATCAATCAGAGTGGGTCTAATGCAGTTGACGTTCAGCTGTGCACTTGGTACACGATTTATGAAACCCTTTTCACCGAGGGTGGAGGCTGTGCAATTTGCACGCTCAGGCAGACATCCCTGTGCAGTATATGCACATTCTGTGTGTACCACCTAACCGATATATGGGGTCGTTGACGGTAATGGCGGTCGTGGGGGTAACTATACTCGCGGTGTACACACACACACACACACACACGACAACAATAATGACCGAGTCCTATATTATATATTATAATAATAGGATACAACAAAAAAGAAATCTTACCCTCCTATAAAAAAAAATTAATAATATACATATACATTAGGGAGAGTCGATTGAATACACACCACTCACAGCTAGGGTGGTGGCCGTGCCGGTGATAGACTTTGCGACTGCCGTGCCGTGCCCGTATGCTTTGGCTTGTGTTGTACCACCGTAGAACGGTACACCGAACGGAGTTCGCCTTTTACACCGAGAAAGCTCTTTTTGGCGATTCTTTTTTTTTTTAATAACGATAATTATCATATGAAAGACCCGCCGCGTGCGCTGCGCCCTTTTCGTCGACCCTCCTTCGGGTCCGGAGAAACCCGACAATTGTTTGTGCGCCGCACGTGCGTGTCGCCTATTATATTTGAATGCCGTCAATTGATTTGCACCACGTGATGGATACCATCACAAACACTGTGTACTACAACACACGAGCCTCGAGTCCATCGCAAAGGCCAGCGGTTTCCAAACTTCCCCGGAGCCGGAGATGACTAGAAAAAAAAACCTAGGTGCTTACGCTGGTTTTCAGACCGATGTTGTTTGTTTGGATGCCAGAAAAGCCTTTTGACTCTGTAATAATCATCCTTCACTTCTATCCAAACCATATGCTGATCCTTTGGTGTCTTGTATCAGTACCTATCTCTTAACGGTAGGTCACCAACACCATATACATTAAGGCATTGTCGAATGACAAAGTAAAAAACAACTGTTTCACATACTATATTTAAGTTAATGTTTTTTTTTGAAATGTTATACAAAGTATGGCTGCTTATAAGTATAGCTGTTATCGAATTTGTTTTAATACGTTGCTAAATATTGGAACTGTAAGATTGAATTAAATCGTTATTTGACAACTATTAATGCATATAGATGTATCACGGGCGATACATTTACTCGGACCATAAAAATTAAAAAACCCGTTTTTTTTAGTTTTTATTAGCTCTTTTGACATTTGAAAAAAGCATTTCTTTAGCAAATCCATTATGGTGATAAATAATTCATGCACTGCAGGGTAGATTGGTGCATACAATATAACGATGGGCTAAGACTAAATACCTTCTAAATGTGTCCAAAGTGAACCAGTTCGCAAACACATAGAGCCCCATAACACCATACTCCTATCTAGATCCGTCCTACGCTAATTAGGGACGTGTGTAAACAAACGCGACTTGTATTTAATAACTATTACCGTGTATTATTATTCCATCAGAAGCAAATAACCTAAGAAATCAAAAAGAAACTCAACCCTCCGGCGACACCCTAACAACGACGCCACCGCGATTCAGTGGTATTTACACAGTGTAAAAGTGTGGTACGTTTTTTCACGGTTAAGTCCATGTCGGTTATCGGTCTGACCTGAATTTATCCACGAAATGATTACTATGTACATACATCACCGCGCTTTATATAGCACCGGACAGTTTACCAAAAACTATACACGGTGTTATGCTATTATAACCGAAAATACCGGACCGTGTAATTATACCTACATAATACCTATTACTTGACATCTCGACCGGGTCGCACGGGTACACATAATAATAATATATAGTATATCCTACCCGTTTCGAATGGCGTGGCTGCCTTAGCCGAACCCATAATAATAATATATAATGTACACTCGTGCTAATTTCCCCTTGCCCTTGCACTCCGCCTTTAACCACGGGCGACACCGGTAAACTGTATATTGTAGTAAAATATTTAGTCTCTGGACCGTGACTTGGGCCGTTGGTCAGCTGTTTTCGATACATAAGCAAATCGTTGGTAAGTTACAATCCATTTAAAGCTGTGTTCATTCGGGAGGTCAAAGTGTAATTCCTCCTTTTCTTTGGCTTTTCATGAAAAACTTAAAGAACTCTATTGTACTTCTTCACGACGGCATAACCCACCCTTCTAAATATATATATATTAGTAACTTAAAAATCAAATACATTTGGGTTTATTCGAGCAGCTCTAAAATATCAATTCATGTTGTTAAGTTATGAAATTAGTAGAATATAGGAAACTAGAAATATATCCTCAAATAAACTCAAAAATTACTTCTCAACTATCGCATCGAATCCAAAATACACACTAAACATAAAACCAAGTAATTACTAATAATTGTGGGTACTAAGTCGCGAGCTGTTGCAGTTTATTATTACTGTTAATTACGGGAAATAAATACACTTTAATTTAATTGATTTTAAATTAGTTAAAACAATTACAACAAATGAATTACACAAAGAAAAAGACATTTTTTTTATATAACCATCCATATTTATTGTCATTATTTTTGTTTATACATAACATAAAACAACAATATTAATTTGCCATACATCAAACAATATAACATTAAAAATAAAATTCAAGTGTTAATGTAATCCGTTTAAATTATAAGTGTTTGATTGTTAATAACAGTTGGTTTATTCATCGAAAACATATTTTTTTCAAATGAAACTATTCAAAATTAATGCTTTTATCCGTCGGACTTGTTTCATTTTTGTTAAAATATATTACACCGTTGTCAATAACGTATGCAGCCTTTGCAGTCGCAATAGTCGCTGCCGGATCCGCAATAACCGTTGGGACTACAACAGCTGAACTTGGTGTTCGGCTCGCACTCGGCTTCGTAAACGCCATCGACCTTGTCGGCTTTGGGTCCGCACGTGCCCGCCCTTTCCGAACCGTCTTCCTGGGTCCACCATTTCTTCGGGCCGAACCGGTAAGTGGGGTCCTTCTTGAAGTTAACGCATCCCTGACATTCGCAGTAATCGCTGGATTCACCGCAGTAATTGCCGTTGGAGCAGCAATACGCGTTGTCGTCGTCCGGATTGCACGTGGGGAACACGCCGTTGATTTTCGGTATTTTTCGGCCACACCTGCAAAAGGTAGAAAATATATTTGAATGAAGTCGTCCGGAAACGACCAGCTGTGTACCTTTAATAGGAAGTTCATGGATAAGTGTTTTGTCGGGCTGGTGGGTCTATCTGGAATGTTTGGAATAGGGATTGTCAGGGTAGAGGAGGGAAGGAAGAAGGTTTACCCCTTGGCTCCAATAACATATCCGCGATTATATGTTTTTCGGTGTAGCGATCAGAATGTAAATTTTTTTATCGATTTCTTTAAACCACTAAGTTTGATCAGCTGATTCTCTTATTAGTTGATTCACTTGTCAGATATCCAGAGATTATCAATTTCTATTGTTCCATTCCCTCTTCTTCCATCATCACAACTTACCCTCCCCACGATGGCGTCGACGTAACGATTTGTCGATGGTACATTTTTAGCAGTTCACGTTCTCCCAAACCTTTTTGCACGTGTTAGACAGGAGAGGACATTTTATTTTATCGATTTTCCAATACTCACCGGCCGCGCAAGCCGTCTTCGGCGTTCAAGAAATACCAAGTGACCGGCACGGTAGGTTTGATCGGACGTTCCAAAATTAGCGATGGGGTTTCCCCGTAATCCTTGCACGAGGGGCAGTCGCAGTACTTCTCGCCGGATCCGCAATAGCCGGACGGGCCACAGCAGCTGTATCCCGGGTCGTCCGGATCGCACAAAGGATAGTAACCTTTATAAAGTGGAGCCGATCTACCGCACAGCCCTGCGACATCATCGCCGTCTTCGGAGGTCCACCTGAAAGCACACATAATACAATCCCGGATACTTCAACCGACTTTAATGTGTTTGTGATGTGACATAATTTAGAGTTATTCGAAAATCCGGTTTCCTAGTTAGGATTTCAAAATCTGAAAATCCACGTAATATTTATTAATACATAGTAGGTTGATAATTAAGGATAAGTCACTAATTTTCCTTTTAAATAATGGCAATTTTGTAGTATTTCTTTTGGGTATCACTTTTGTTTATGATTTCTTACAATATATTCAAATTACTAAATATATGCCTACTTTAATTTATTTTTTGAACTATATTCTGGTGTGAAAGAAACGGGTAAACAAGAGAAAGGAGCAGAAATGTAAAGTGCCAAAAATTAAGCGGTGGAAGTTAACGAGTGAAAAAGAAAAGTTCTTTGTGAGGAAAATGAAGAAAGAAGTAGTGTGAAGCTTGAAGGAAGATGAAGATGATATTTGGTGTAGTAGAGGAAAAAGTGTAGAGTGCAGTTAGAAAGATAATAAAGAAGAAAGCGGTAGGACCGGATGGACTGCCAGTGGAAGTATGAAGTTGTTAAGCCACTTTGGTAGAGGGTGGTTTACAGGTTTTCTTAACAAGGTGATAGTAGATGGGAAAAGGCTGGAATTGTGGTTTAGATCGTTCGATCGTATAACGAGAAGAGATAATACAGAGACAACGAGAGGTTTTATGAAAATTAATGTAGAGGGAAAAGGAGCGAGATGAAGACTGATAAAAAGATAGATCGATGGAGTAGTGTATAATATAATAATAGTCGGAGTGATAGAAACGTAGAAGATTGAGCTCTATGGACGTGTAGGACTAGGGTGACCGACCCCATGTAGTTAAGAGTGCAAGGCAAAGATAAAGAAAAAGATAACCCTTACGTTAAATTTGGATGTTTTTAGCATAAAATTAGGTCTGGAATTTGGTCAATATAAAAATGTATTTCAATAAGAAGTGTCATTAAAATATAATATAATTATATAATCATATTACCAACGCTTTTCGTCAATAGGCGAACACTTGTGGTTAACATCGTTGGGATCGGTTTTGTCGCATAACGGTGCTTTGTAAACAGCGTTCAACATCGTCAGTTGGTCGTCGTCCAAATCGACCGACCAGATCATCAGGCCACCGACGTTCTTATCCGCAGCGTACTTCACTTTGAAAGACAGAGATTTTTCATTTTCGTAGCCCAAAAACACTTTTGTCGACGGATTCCATGCGTAAGGCGATTTGCTCTTCTCGTGGAAACGCTGTTGGAACCGATTGTCGTCCAAATGGTCTTGCTGTAGCTTAAACCAAGGCGTGTATCCACCTTGGAAAACACCGTCGACCGCGTTGGCCGTCCGCCACATTTCGTCTTTGCCGTCCACCGAATCGCCCACGTTACTCCAATACCGGCCGTAAAACGGCAAGCCCATGTTGATCTTGTGCGGTAACTTACTCTTGCAAGTGTAGTACTTGATGGTCCAGTCGACGTTTGTCTTGCCGGAAAACCTCGGCGGCATCCCAAAGTACAGAGGGGCGGGAGGTCCCGTGTACGCACCCCATTTGCTTGACCAAGCTCCGAAGAAATCATACGTCATCACGTTGGCAAAGTCGGCGTACTTAAGCAGCCCTGGCAAGTCGAACCCGGGATCCAAAGTCCACTGACCCGCTGCGCCGGCAAAAGATATCAGAAAATCGCTTCTTCGACCTGAAAAAACACAATTGTTATACTCGTTTTGCTCATTAACCCTTAGATAGATCAGTCTCATTGGGACGGATTTCGCACAAAATAGGAGAACGACTCAGTCACACTTGTAAAACATACGGATCATAAAATGTTACCTGCTTCTGCTTTGTACGAGTCCAAGGCCTGACGCAGTTCCTTCATGAGAAGCACATAATTGTCTTTGTCTGCCGGCACTCCTTCGACGGCACCACCGGTTACCGGGTACTCCCAATCGACATCCACGCCGTCAAAACCTGACTCAAACATTAAAGTCCAACGATTAACACAACCAAAAGGTAATATTGACTATGTTTGATTGAAAAAAAAAATGTAAACACGGATACAAAGTAATGATCATTTAAACTAATCTGTTGTCTGTTATGCAAAAAAAAAATTATAATTTCCTCCAGTTTGTCATTTTCAATTGTCATGCTTATTACTTTCTTTTATGTAAAAAACCAAGACTTCTAAAATATCCAAAATTTTGTTTTATATTAATTATTACAATATATTTTTATAACCAAAAATGAACTCAAATATGTTTAAATTTATATTGACTGTTAATTCACTAAAAATTTCTTTTATTTTTTTTTAGTTTTTTCTTAAAAGAAATCACGTTGCATCTCGATTCTGAACTGCATCACTTTGAATATATAATCATTTTCATGTTTATGTATGTCTTTGTTTACAAATTTCGCTCAATTCTTATCTACATTTTCTCCTTTCCCTTCCTTTTATCACTAGTCTTTTATCAGCTATTTCTTATCACTATTGGCAAAGGTAGTTAGGTTAGATTTATACAATGACAAGGGACTCAAACTTTCTAAAGAACACCACCATACACAACATATTAAGTCAAAAAACATTTTCCTTACCGTATTTTTGAATGAGTTTTATAACGGACGAGATAAACACCACTCTGCTTTGAGGCGACGAAGCCATTTTACTGAAATACTGAGAATTCTCCCATCCGCCGACCGCGAACGAGATTTTCAAATGCGGAAAAAACTTGGCCAAGTTCATAAGGTGTTCTAATCTTTGGCGAGATTTTTTTGTTTCTTCTTCTACGTCTTCGCTGTGCGCTTTGTCTGGCGTTCCTATGCTGACCGATCCGTCACTGTGCATCTCCATAAAAGCGTATATCACGTGGGTGAGCTTGGACAAAATTTTGCTGTTGATCTTTTTCACGCCCCATGAGGTATAGTAACCCACGATACGTTTACCACAGTTTTGTACTGAAACGTCTACGCTTCCGTCTCCAGTCATGTCTTCGCCAGACCCCGATTCATCGTAGTCATGTGACACCACAGCACGCGTTTTAAACAATTCGTCCAACTCGTCTAATTCTTTCATTTCCGACTTGGTACATCCTCTTTTCAGTCTCGTTGTTGCGGCACGTTTTTGTTTTGTACCTGTACCCAACAGTTTGTCTTTCCAACCTTGTGCCTCTTCCTGAGATAAGTCCATCGCTTTCTTACAGTCGTTGGGGTTCACGGGCAACCACATAGCCTGATGGTTATTGTTAGTATCACTGGATACGGGTTGAGTGCCAATTCCTCTTCCTACGCTTAGTCGCACCGACTTAAGCCACGGATTGTGCGATGAACTGTCGTATAGCTTATTGATTTCCGTTTGCGAAACTGGAGTGAATATTTCCTCTTTTCGCTTGTCATAAGAATCTGGCGGAAAATCTGAGTTCTTTGCCATGAAACCAACGACTTGCGCTTCTCCCTGCTCGTCGTTGTAGCACAACATTTTCCAAAAACAATCAGGCACGTCGATTTTAGTCTTGCCGTCTGTTTTCTTCAGGGTTTTTTTGCAAACACCCGTCACCACATAGGTTCGCTTGTCCTCACTAAAACACAACACATGTTTCTCTAGATCTTTCCACGCTTGCTGGTTTATGTAACTATGCTGAGGAGCGATGTTAATCATCGCGAACGTACTTTTCATAGCTTTTCTCGACCACCGAGCGACATTGGCCGGAGTCAAGTGTCCACGATCGTATCCACCTTTATTGTAATCGTCAGTAACGTACTGATGTGGTTTTACTTCTTTGCAGGGATACTTGAAAAAACCATCTTCCCGTTCAACTATTTTTGCATCGTTATAGCTGAAACAAAAATTACAATAAAATAAATATATATATATATATTGAGTATAGTTAAATGAAGGAATATCATATTATAGTTACCGACCTTTTAGAATTGAACTCATTGCTCTGAAGTAAGGAAGCCGACCACACGGGAAGTTTACGGGATTTATCGAACAACGCTACGTAGGAGACAATGTCTTTGCCCATTGATATCGAGGTGAAACCCTTAACTTTTGGTGTCATAACGGCAATTACAGGAAAAGCTGTCTGATCGCATGTGTATAATGTGCAGGATGGTTTTGGTGACCAAGCTGCGTCTTTATCCTTTGCTTTTAAACACTCGAGTGTAGGTTTGTTCTCTTCATAACCAGGTTTACATTCAAAATCACAATACTCACCCACATCCTTGTTTTTACAAGCTTTAAATGTACCGTTCAAGGAGTTGGAAGCTTTCGGCATAGCACATATTTTACTGCCCTTGCACCCGTTATTTTTTTTTTGGCCGTTTGCTCGTTTAGATCGTGCTTTACACTCTTCCTTGTCTTCTTTTTTTTTTTTTTCGTTCTCCGTTTTTTTAGCATCTACTTTTTTGGGTTTTGTATTTTTCCCAGCTTTTTTTATTGTATTTTTTGTCCCTTTAAGAGCCGTTTTCCCAGCTTTGGATATTCCTTTTAAACCCGCTCCAACGATCTTACCTACGCCTGGAGCGATTATAGTCAGACCGACATCTACCAACGAAGAACCTAGAAGATCTAATCCCTTTTCTTTGGCTTTATCCCAGTCTCCAGCCAGAACAGCACCACCCAGTTCAACTGCGTTTTTGACGTCTTTAACGATCGGTATGTTTGTTATTGCCTTTTTCGCCCCTTCGAAATCTCCCTTGACTACATTTTTAACCGCTTTAACTACTCCTTTACCAGTATCTACAATTGTATTTACTGTGTCTTTCACCGCTCCAACTATAGCTTTACCTACTTTTTTTATGGCTTTACCAATAAAACTAAAAAATCCCCTCTTTTTACGTATCGACACTGCCGTTTCTTCTGTCTTATTAAATACCGATAAGGTGGTCTGAGTTTGCTCGTTATCACTGGCAAAACAGTTAAATAGCATATTTTCATCGCCAGAGAATGGGTTCACCTGATTCAGTCCGGCCAAGGTAAAATTCGATTTGCTCTGCGCTACAAGCACCATGGCACTTTCTGATGGCTGGAGGTTCAACTCGGCTTCGTCGTTAATTTCAAAAAAATAGCACTTTGACGAGTTGGGTAAATATTGTATAGATATGTAAGCGCACCAAGCGTTGGACGGCTGATTGCACACGTGGGAACAGACTTCTTCACAATTTCGTTTGCAATCACGTTGCATAGTGGCCAATGACGAATTTAACCGTACGCCTGGAGTCCGCAAGTAATACACCGACGAAGACTCTAACGAAGGTTTTTTAAACACAGTCAAAAGGTTTTGGTTTTCCATTAAACTTACCACGTCGGATGACAGAATGCATTCCTTTTTTTGTCTAGAATATGACATACGATTATAGGTGGAGCCCTTATATTCAGACATACACTCGTCGAACGTCACCTCATTGGAAATTTTTAATTCACTTTCCGCGCCTTCGATCGCAACTACTCCCAGGTTTTCGACGAAATCGTAGTCCTTGAGATAGGCGTGAACTCCTAAGGTTTGTTTGGGGAACTTCAACATGAACGTTTTGTCATACTGGAATTGTCCGAACGTAGTCAGGGTAATCATATCCGTTTGATTCGAGTTCAACCCAAAGCCCATGCATTCCGTTGTTTGCAAACAGTTTTCCATTTCAGCGTATATTATTTGTTTTATGTCATCCAAAAAATAGACATCGCTGTCAGGACAAATGCTCAGGTTTTCCGTTTGATCCGTTTGTTCGGGGTAGTAACACGTTTTGCATCCAGTATTGACGTCGCAACCGGCCAACGAGGTGGTGAAACAAGGCTTGGAGAAATAACTACCGTGAGTGTCGTTGATGAACGACGAACATTGTCCTGTGCTTAGGCTTGTCGTTGATTTCAGCGACAGCACGCTATCTCCGGTTTCGACGAACCTCCAAGTTTTCGTATCGCCTATAGGCAAATCCGCCGTACGAAAAGCGGAAACGTAGCCGTACTCGAAGTCCACTCGCTCTACGTCATTTTCGATGTTACCGTAAGTAGTGCACGTGGAGTTCAGCAGAAAATAAGACACGACGGTGCAGTAATTTTGGTCGTTGCATTTACTCAAACAAGACAAAAAAGAAGTTTCCTTTTCTTGGCTCAAAGGGTTGGCACCCACTGCCGAGGTATGGCGCGAGTACATCCAATCGTTCAGCACTCCGACCGGTTGGGTCATGAACACCGTGGTCCATTCTTCTTCCTCGCTGAGCTCTCCGTCAGTACTATCGAATGTGTAACAGTGTCCGGCGTTATGGTCGTAGCTGAAAGCCGTGCAGTTGTTCGTGTCGAAGCAAAGTCCAAAACAATTTGGAAAGTCCATATTGTCGTACTCGTCGGTGGGTTCCTTGTCCAAGAACACGTTTTTGTAACGTTGTTGCGGGAAATTCGGACACAAGTCGCAAACCCGTATCCCTTCGTCTTTAATCTTGATGACGTTCTCTTTGTTAATGTCTACAAGGTCACAGCGCAGTCTGTCGGGTACGATGGTGAAGTTGTTGCTCTTCATCAGTAGATACTTAACGAAATCAGAAAAAGACGTTCCGGATAATGTCTCTTCGTCGTCATCGTCGCTGTGAAAACAAATAAGTACATTCAATTATGCCTTTGGAATTCTAGATTTGTCAATGGAATAAGGAAGATACATTTTTTACGTTGATGAGATTTTTTTTTTATGTATAAACCGCGTATCTTTTAAACCGCTGAACTGATTTCTTCATGTAGCATTTGTATAGATCGGAAATCGTACCTGAGGAGTACTTAATTGGGCCAATAGTCTCATAAGTTAGGGGAATAATCAGTGTTACGGGTTTAAGGAGCTCAGGGCCCCGAGCTGTGGCGTAGGGAAAATGGCGCTCCCAACGCCTAATGCACATATTGAGCATTGCAGTTTTTTTTTTCCCCTGACGATAAGTGGTTGGGAGGTTATTTGGTCCTCCGGGTTGGAGATTTAGTGACGAGCTTATGACTCATACTTGTAAAAAAACTCTTTTTAAGAAACCGACCACTATAAAGCCTCGGAATTCAATTCCTAATTTGGATATCAGACTGAAATTGTTATATTTTTGAAATTTGTTACTTGGAATATTACAACCTTGTATAAGTAATGTGCTCTACAATGTGCAATTAGGATAAATATTCAATATGAATGAACAAGCAAAAAGACAGAGTTAGGTGGGGAGGAGTGGTTGAGGTAGCAAAGGTCCGCAACATGGACTGTAGAAGATGGGAAAGAAGCAGAAGATTTGCTAATAATTATAAAACTAAAAAAACCGATAATTTAAAAATGTCGAAATCTTCTAGGTTATTGAGAAAGTGTCATGGTTACTCAATCCTTTTAACCACTTTTAAGATAATTTGACCATTTACTTCAATTAAGTTTATAAGTTATGTATATAAGTATATAAGTATGAATTAACCTCCAAAAAATTGGCAAATGGTAAACTTGTACTCGATTAGACTGTACAGCTTGGGACTTTGCAGTTATTACAAAACATATATATTTTTTTAACCTCAATTAATAGATGTTGCTTACCCGTTACCGGTATTGTTTGTACAGCACTGGGCCATAATACTATCATCTTCTTCGTCACAGATCGCCGTTTGATTTAGAATCGTTTTCAACGGGCAATAGGCGCCCGTCCAGTTATTTGGCACACATCCGGACCACCAACAGAAGTCGTCCAGGAAAACAGGTTTCTCATCCTTGTCGTCGTGTGTGTCTTTGTCGGATAGCTCACAACATTCGTACTCGAAACCACCGTCACAAGGCGATTTGTCCTTTTCTGTTCTGTTGTACTGATCGCAACCGGTAACTGCCCAAGTACTTGGCTGACAACCAGTCCACCAGCAGTCTTCTTTGGACGACTCGGGCTCTTCAACAATCGCACAGCAATAATACTCCGATCCGTCGGTGCAACTCCTGATGTCTTCCTGCTCTCGGTCGTACTGATCGCATCCGGTCACTGCCCAAGTATTTGGTTGACAACCAGTCCACCAGCAGTCTTCATTGGAGGACTTGGGTTTTTCATCAATCGGACAGCAATAGTACTCCGATCCGTCGGTGCAACTCCTGATGTCTTCCTGCGTTCGATTGTACTGACCGCATCCGGTCACTGCCCAAGTATTTGGCTGACATCCCGTCCACCAACATTCGTTTTCACCTAGACAACATTTAAAATTCAACTTATTAATATACAATTTTTATTTGTCATCTGCTGTTATTTAGAAGCCACAGACTTTGTTGTCCGTGCTGGCTCAGTCTGAAAAAACCCTTATTCTTGCTGGAGAGCTCGATATGTCACAGCAGCCACACTCTTGTTCAACCTATATATCACAAATCGACCCACAGCTGACCATACAACCGTAGTGTGACTTTTCAGATGACAAAGCGCTCTTAGCTTTTTATTCAGACCCCGAAATAGTCTAATGCTCATTTGTTTACACCTTAATTTACTGTAAATCTAGGAAATTAAAATCACCGAGTCCAAGTGTAGCCCCCACTTGTTGTAATTTCATACTCACACCAAGAGTGGCAGTATCTATAAACTGCCTCGGTAATAACTTATCCATTCCGTCTGTAGAAATGTGCGTTATTTAGGTATTTACTGGGTCTTTCCAGGTGAAATCACCTAATATGTGTGTCTCCTCGAGGGGGACACCTAGTTTCTACAGATTTATGGAACCTGGGGTCATGTAAAACCACCTATATGTACGCCTATGGTAAAATAATGTTTAACAATTTAATTATACAATCCTTATGGGTCCTTAATGACAAAACAATTTTAAAAAAATCATCTAAAATACCTTTTATTTCCGACTCTATAGTTTAACCCCAGATAGTGGTGTCAACATGCGACCTGCAAAGTTCAAATTCTAATTAAGTTGCTTTAATATTATAATGAACAAATATTTTAATGTTTTAACCTCCCAATTTTTTTATATTTTAAAAACCTTTTTGTGAGGTCAAGAAATAAAAATTCATGTTATGTTCCAATTCATCTTTGAACCAATTAAGACATTTTTTAATATTAATTTATAATTTCTACCATGGGCGGTTTGCTGAAAACTGCCTACATTGATGACCCACACCGCATATATGTGACTGAGCGAGAATTTTCCTAAATTATGTAACACTTACTTTTAATTTATAATAACATCTGATAGAAATTTCGTGGTGGAGGATTAGTTAAAAGAGTTCAAATTTCCCTATTTACATTTATCGTAAATATATACAATTTACGTAACTATTTAATTTGTTGCTTACAATTAGTATATAACAGTGTCAAAATACAATGTTATAAAATAGGCGCGTTTAAATTAGTAGTTATAATATTTTGTACTATATATGAATTAGGTAATTGCTCATAATTTAAATGTATTAAAATATATTACTATGTAATAACCATAAGTTCCAGAACGTTATTATTTGAAATTATTTAATTATAGTATGCAGTTTTTGGCTTTTTAGACTTAAAAACTATTTTATAAATCAGTGTCAAACTGGCCTTGTAAACTAATCATTTAACCGTACCACCTATACCGTCACATGGACCCTAACCGTGTGCGATCGCCAAAAAATACCACTTAGCTTTTATACAAAATCTGTTTTATGGTCACAAAGAAGAACCATATATTTATAATCTTTTTGTATGTGTTTCTTCATAAAAAAAATTAAAGTATCGGCTACTTGAGGTATCATGTTTTATCTTTGTGAAAAGTTTCTTATTACAAATACCTTATTTGTTTTGTGTACATTCAAAAACTGTTACTCTAATGGTAACAGATGACCTAGTGCTCACCTTTAGTGGAGTAAACGTGTAGTAGCAGAAACAGTAAACCAGGCACGGCCGCATAGTTGCAGTTGAAATATTTAAAAATCATAATAATACAAATTTAAATGAATACAAAGATTTCATAAAAACTCCATGGTTCGGACAAGACAAGACAAGTATTTATTTTTCGTACCTATCCGACACCGTACACGACTGGAAATGGTTATGATGGAAAATAAATTATGCTATAGCTTAAAAGCTGGTTGAAAAATGGTTTATAACCAGATTATTGTTGTTATTGTAACGTATTATGACATTATAAAATGATTATAACAGACTTAAACAAATTGTTCAAGTGAGTAAGAAGGTATACAGAATTAACCATAACCGATCCTTAATCGACTTTAAGTGCGCTTCAAAACTGTGTTGTTAAAACATAAAAAGAGATAATGATAATAATTGTGCGTTGAATTTTTCAGTAGATAAGTAAACAATGTTGAAGGTGAACGAAAAGTTATTTATGGCCGTTCTCGTCGGTTGAGCTTAAAAATTGTGTGTAATTAATCAACACTTAATTTATCAGTGCGTACATACATGACGTTGTAGACACACTCATTTTTTTACAAGGTGTGTACAAATGTATAAATTGTATAAGCCTTTCGATGTGAACATACAACACAATAAATAGTTGGCCGTTGGTTAGTGAAAGACAGTTAAATTTTCGGTCAAGTAAGATACTTTGGATTTGCTCTGAATCTATTGTTCTTTGTCCCGAACAATCAAGTCATTTTAATAGACCTAATTGGTTGTCGGCGTTACAAAATATAACACTATTCGAATATAATATTATAAAATATATAACGAGTAGTTTGTTCTCAAGAATTAATTATTTTTTCCAAATAAAATAGTTTTTCTTTAGCTACAAAATTATTAGAATAATGCCCGGTGATGGCTCACAGTAGTACCTCCAAATCAGAAAATGCCAAACTAAAATAGTATTTCTTTTTCCCGCACAAAACGGATGTTCTCGTCAGTTGGCCTTGTTGAGAGTACCTTTTATACTATTATAAGTTTAAGTCATTGTACTGACCAAACAAATCAATGTAAGTCATTTTTAAGTACTTGTCACCGCGTTCTTATAATTAAAAACAAGGATTAACGATTGTAACGATAATCAAATTATTTCAATAAATTGATTTTCTTAGGTTGTAACGTTACTATTTTTATGATTTTTAAAAATAAATACAATATCAGTAATTATTATGATAACATTGTAGATTCAATGGTAAGAATCAATATTGTTCTGTATAAGCTAAGTATGCTTTTTTTGCAAATTCAACGCACTGTTTATTTGTTTATTTTCATGTTGTACATCGTCCAACACTATTTCATGCGCACTTATTTTCGGCGTTATGGATAAGCTATGGTTTCACCTGCCAAGTGCATAGGTACAATCTAATTCTATAATTAGAATTATCCGGAAAACCCTACCGTACAATTTACGCGATTATCAATATTATTATTTTTTTTTTTCAATACAATACTAATTATATTATGTAAACTGATTACGGCCGAAAAAACCCTCGGTGCATGATTAACGTGTGTGTGTGTAGGTCAAGGTATCAATTATTACATTAAACCTGCTATTAAAATACAGTTTATTTCACATCATAACCGTTGCCGGTCGTGTACAGTTATCGGTTAACAAATAAAATACTTGTCTTGTCCGAAACATGATGTGTTTATGATAACGTTTTTTATTGTCTTTTAATTATTATGATTTTGTGTTATAATTGCAGCTGCAACCATGCGGTCGTGCTTGTTGCACTGCTACTACTACACGTTTACTCCATTAAAGGTGAGTAATATAGTACTATGTGTATTATGCCTGCTATCATTACACAGTATTAACTATTCCGTGTTTATTAATTAGCAGCGATTGAAACCGTTCAATTAGATATTATACTGAATAATGATAAAGTTAAAAATCAAAACAACATGTTTATTTGAAAGTGATTTTAACCACTTTTATCTTGAGTAAAAAAAGTTAAATTAAAACCCAAAAATGGTACTCGAGTATCAAAACATAAAAGTGTCATTCTGCATAGATCTACATAAAATTGTTGTAATATTTTAATACAATTTTTTTTAAGATTTTTGTTAAAATATAAAAAAAAACAGTTTTCCGGTAATTAAAAAAAAAACTTTAGTGCCGAATTTTTTCTTCGTTTAATATGTTATAAATACTTATGAGTTCTAACTAGTGACAAATTTTCAACTTAAAGGTATTAAAATTACGGCTAAAACCCCAAAAAACCAAAAAATTGTACCTTCCCTAGGAAGAGGGGGGGGGGGAATAGGTATTATTTAATTTTGATACAACTGACGTGTGCGGGCATACCAAATAAATATTCCATTTTAAATTTCAACGCGATCCGACTCTTTTTCTTGAAATTATACTATTGAAATTAAATACAATTATATTACTTGAGTACAATACATCAATTATATTCAACAAAAACAATTTTTATTTGTTTTGTTGCCTAAATGTTTTTTTTTTCTAACTTTGTAATCTATTTATGTATTCACTGTTTATAAAAATTTCATTTATATTTTTTTATTCAACAATTACCTATTCAATTTGAGTTATGATCCATATAATATTTTATAAGTATAGTTCTAATTTTTTATACTATTTATTCATTTTATTTAACCTTACTTGTATAAAAAAAATTGTCTTGTGTAATAGAACTATTATGTTATAATTTTTATATTGTACTAATAATAAAATTATAAAATAAAAAAACATTACACTTAACCCTTGTCGCGTTAGGTGATGACAATATTACAAAATTATATTGAAACAGATTTTTAATACAGAAGTACCGTCAACATTGTTAAGCGTATTTTTCTATTTTTTTTTTTTACATAGTCATTTCTTCACAAGCTGTCACAAATTAATCACATCTGCCACAATATCTCTGTTGTTTCCGTCAAGGTAATATACAGGTTATAAATAACATTATTAAATATGTAAATTGAACTGTGAGCTGTGGGTGGATCAGAGGCATGTAGGTTGAACAGATTTAATGAGTAAGTTAAAGTGTGATTATAGAGACAGTTGTCACTTTAGGTATGATTGTGAATGTACAATAACTAGACTTGGTTCATTGAATTTAATTCCCCAGATTTGCAGTAAATTGAGGTGTGGATGATAACTATTAGGTTATTTTGGGGTCTGAATAAAGGACTAAGAGCACTTTGGCCATCTGCAAAGACACCAGTGATTATATTGCCGGCTGTGGATTGACCTAAGGTATATAGGTTGAATAAGAATAGGGCTGCTATTGCATTTAGAGAATGGGGGTTATTTCAGACTGAGCCAGCACGAACAACAAAGTCTGTGGCTTCTAAATAATAGCAGATGACAAATAAAAATTATCTATTAATAAGTTGAATTTTAAATGTTGTCTAGGTCAAAACGAATGTTGGTGGACGGGATGTCAGCCGAGTACTTGGGCAGTGACCGGATGCGGTCAGTACAACCGGACGCAGAAAGACATCAAGAGTTGCACCGACGGTTCAGAGTATTATTGCTGTCCGATAGTTGTGCAACCCAAATCTTCCCAAAAAGACTGCTGGTGGACTGGTTGTCAGCCGAGTACTTGGGCAATGACCGGATGCGGTCAGTACAACCGAAAGCAGGAAGAAATCAGGATTTGCACAGACGGTTCAGAGTATTATTGCTGTCCGATAGTTGTGCAACCCAAAGCTTCCCAAAAAGACTGCTGGTGGACTGGTTGTCAGCCGAGTACTTGGGCAGTGACCGGATGCGGTCAGTACAACCGAAAGCAGGAAGAAATCAGGAATTGCACAGACGGTTCTGAGTATTATTGCTGTCCGATTGTTGTGCAACCCGAATCTTCCCAAAGAGACTGCTGGTGGACTGGATGTCAGCCGAGTACCTGGGCAGTGACCGGATGCGGTCAGTACAACAGAACAGACAAGAACAAATCGCCGTGTGACGGTGGTTTCAAATACGAATGTTGTGAGCTATCCAACAAAGACACACACAACGACAATGATAAGAAACCTATTTTCCTGGACGACATCTGTTGGTGGTCCGGATGCCAGCCAAAGAACTGGAATGGTGACCGTTGCCCGGTGAACACTGTTCTAAGAAAAACGACGACTTGTGACGAAGAAGATGATAGTATTATGGTCCAGTGCTGTGCAAACAATACCGGTAACGGGTAAGCAACAACTACTAATTAAGATTAATAAAAACAATAAAATAAAATTTGTTAAATTATGTGTTGTAGCACGCGAAACTTATTTGGTACTTCAACGAGTTATGAAAATAGGGGTAGGAGATAGGAGTGGGAGATAAGGGTAGGACATAGGGCATGAGTGATAGGGGGTGAGAGATAGAGGGTGGGAGATAGGGGTGGAGATAGGGGGTAGGGGATAGGGGATGGGAGATAGTGGGTAGGGGATAGGGAAAGATATAGGAGATAAGAGATAAGAATATCTACGTTCAACTTCAAATTAGAACTATACAACAAATTCTAAACAGTTAAAGAGCCCAAATTCTCTATGAATTGTTTTAAACCAAATATTAAACACTACAATATTAGCCAGAAACTTGATGTTTTAATATACTAGCGCTTGTTACTGCTTCTTAATATACTATATCATTATTTATAATTCCACCACTACACTAAATTTATCTCGGTACTTCAACGAGACATGAAAATGCTCTTTGTAAATGACTCGGCTGAAAAAGTTTTTTTTTTAATGACCACCTAATAATAATAGTACAATTTGAGGCACATTTTTTTCCTGTAAAACGATCTGTTACATATGATATTTATTTATTTTGCCATCTACAGAACCGCTTCTAAGTGTTTTAGTCTTTTGACTTCACCGACCTCAGACTTAGCCTCAACCCTTCAGTGCTGGCTTCTTTTATTTAAATATGGTGAAGTTCGAAGCTCAAAAGTTCATTGTATTTTTCACAGCGACGAGGAAGAAACGTTATCCGGAACGTCTTTTTCTGATTTCGTTAAGTATCTACTGATGAAGAGCAACAACTTCACCATCGTACCCGACAGACTCCGATGTGACAAGGTGGACGTGAACAAAGCGCACATAATCCAAATAAAAGACGAAGGGATCCGCGTTTGCGACTTGTGTCCGAATTTCCCGCAACAACGTTACAAAAACGTGTACTTGGACAAAGAGCCCACCGACGAGTACGACAATATGGACTTTCCAAATTGTTTTGGACTTTGCTTCAACACGAACAACTGCACGGCTTTCAGCTACGACCATACCGCCGGACGGTGTTACATTTTCGACAGTACTGACGGAGAGCTCAGCGAGAAAGAAGAATGGACCACGGTGTTCATGACCCAACCGGTCGGAGTGCTGAACGATTGGATGTACTCACGCCACACCTCGGCAGTTGGCGCCAACCCTTTGAGCCAGGAAAAAGAAAATTCGTTTTTGTCTTGTTTGAGTAAATGCAACGACCAAAAGCACTGCACCGTCGTATCTTATTTTCTGCTGAACTCCACGTGCACTACTTACGGTAACATCGAAAATGACATAGAGCGAGTGGACTTCGAGTACGGCTACGTTTCCGCTTTTCGTATGGCAGATTTGTCCATAAGTGATACGAACACTTGGAGGTTCGTCGAAACCGGAGATAGCGTGCTGTCGCTGAAATCGACGACAAGCCTAAGCACAGGACAATGTTCGTCGTTCATCAACGACACTCACGGTAGTTATTTCTCCAAGCCTTGTTTCACCACCTCGTTGGCCGGTTGCGACGTCAATACTGGATGCAAAACGTGTTACTACCCCGAACGAACGGGTCAAACGGAAAACCTGAGCATTTGTCCTGACAGCAATGTCTATTTTTTGGACGAAATGAACAAAATAATACACGCCGAAATGGAAAACTGTTTGCAGACAACGGACTGTATGGGATTCGGATTGAACTCGAAACGAACCGAGCAGATTACCCTTACGACGTTTGGACTGTACCAGTATGCCAAAACGTTCATGTTGAAGTTTCCCAAACAAACCGTAGGAGTTCACGCCTATCTCAAGGACTACGATTTCGTCGAAAACATCGGAGTAGTTGCTATCGAAGGCGCGGAAAGTGAATTAAAAATGTCCAATGAGGTGACGTTCGACGAGTGTATGTCCGAGTATAAGAACTCCACGTTTATGCGAATGTCCTATTCTAGACGGAAAAAGGAATGCGTTCTTTCGTCTGACGTGGTGAGATTGACGGAAGGCAAAAACGTTTTGACTGTTTTCAAAAAACCCTCGTTAAAATCGTCGTCGTTGAATTACTTGCGGACTCCAGGCGTACGGTTGAATTCGTCATTGGCCACCATGCAACGTGATTGCAAACAAAATTGCGAAGAAATCTGTTCCCAAGTTTGTAATCAGCCGTCCAACGCTTGGTGCGCTTACATATCTATAAAATATTTACCCAACTCGTCAAAGTGCTATTTTTTTGAAATTAATGACGAAGCCGAGTTGAACCTCCAGTCATCAGAAAGCTCTATGGTGCTTGTAACGCAGAGCAAATCGAATTTCACCTTGGCCGGACTGAATAAGGTGAACCCATTCTCTGGCGATGAAAATATGCTATTAAACTGTTTCATCAAGGATAACAAGCAAACCCAGACCACATTGACTGTATTCAATAACCCAGGTGAAATGGCAGTGGCAATACGTAATAAAAGAGGAGTATTAAGTTCTATCGGTAACGCGTTTAAGTCAGCAGGTGAAGGTTTTGTCGAAGCGGTTAAAGACACAGTGGATACAGTTGTGGACACCGGTAAAGGAGTTATTAACGCGGTGGAAAATGTGGTCAAAGGAGATTTGGAAGGGGCCAAAAATGCGATAACAAACATACCGATCGTTAAAGACGTCAAAAACGCGATTGATCTGGGGGGTGCTGTTTTGTCCGGAGACTGGGATACAGCCAAAGAAAAAGGATTAGATCTTCTAGGGTCTTCGTTGGTAGACGTCGGTCTGACTGTATTTGCTCCAGGTGTCGGTAAGGTCGCTGGAATGGGTTTGAAGGGAATCTCCAGAGTGGGTAAAACAGCTCTTAAAGGGTCAAAAAATACAATTAAAAAAGCTGGGAAAGATACAAAACCCAGTAAAGCAGACGTTAAAAAAACGAAGGACGATAAAAAAAAAAAAGAAGAAAATGAAGAAAAGTGTAAAGCCCGATCCAAACGAGCAAACAGTACCAAAAAAAAGAATAACGGATGCAATAACAGTAAATTATGTGCTATGCCAAAAGCTACCAACTCCATGAACGGCACTTTTAAAGCTTGTAAAAACAAGGCAGTGGATACATATTGTGATTTTGAATGTAAACCTGGTTATGAAGAGAACAAACCTAGACTCACGTGTTTAGTAGAAAAAAATAAAAACGCAGCTTGGTCACCAAAACCATTATGCACATTGTACACATGCGATCAGACAGCTTTTCCTGTAATCGCCGTTATGACACCAAAAGTCGACGGTTTCACCTCGATATCAACAGGCAAATACATTGTCTCCTACGTAGCGTTGTTCGATAAATCCCGTAAACTTCCCGTGTGGTCGGCTGCCTTACACCAGAGCAATGAGTTCAAGTCTAAAAGGTCGGTAACTATATAATATTCCTTCTTTCAACGATACTCTATGGGTTAAAATTATTTTGTACGTAATTTTTGTTTCAGCTATAACGATGCTAAAGAAGTTGAACGGGAAGATGGTTTTTTCAAGTATCCATGTAAAGAAGTAAAACCACATCAGTATGTTACTGATGATTACAATAAAGGCGGATACGACCGTGGACACTTGACTCCGGTAAATATTGCTCGGTGGTCGAGAAAAGCTATGAAAAGTACATACGCGATGATTAACATCGCTCCTCAGCATGCTTACATCAACCAGCAAGCGTGGAAAGAGCTAGAGAATCATGTGTTGTGTTTTGGTAAGGACAAGCGAACGTATGTGATAACCGGTGTTTGCAAAAAAACACTGGGGAAAACGAAAGGCAAGACTAAAATCGACGTACCCGATTGTTTTTGGAAAATGTTGTGCTACAACGACGAGCAGGGAGAAGCTCAAGTCGTTGGTTTTATAGCGAAGAACTCAGATTATCCGCCTGGCTCTTATGATAAGCGAAAAGAAGAAATATTTACACCAGTTTCGCAAACGGAAATCAATAAACTCTACGACAGTTCATTGCACAATCCGTGGATTAAGTCGGTGCGACTAAGCGTAGGAAGAGGAATTGGCATTCAACCCGTATCCAGTGATATTAACAATAACCATCAGGCTATGTGGTTGCCCGTGAACCCCAACGACTGTAGGAAAGCGATGGACTTATCTCCGGAAGAGATACAAGGTTGGAAAGACAAACTGTTGGGTACAAGTACAAAACACAAACGTGCGGCAACAACGAGACTGAAAAGAGGATGTACCAAATCAGAAATGAAAGAATTAGACGAGTTGGACGAATTGTTTAAAACGCGTACTGTGGTGTCAGCTGACTCAGATGACTCAGATGACTCAGACAACTCAGATGAATCGGAATCTGGCGAAGACACAGCCGGAGACGGAAGCGTAGACGTTTCGGTACAGAGTTGCGGCAAACGTATCGTTGGGTATTACACCTCTTGGGGTGTGAAAAAGATCAACAGCAAAATTTTGTCTAAGCTAACTCACTTGATATACGCTTTTATGGAGATGCACAGTGACGGAACGGTCATCATAGGAACGCCAGACAAAGCACACAGCGAAAACGTGGAAGAGGAAACGCAAAAGTCTCGCCAAAGATTAGAACACCTGATGAACTTGGCCAAGTTTTATCCGCATGTGAAAATCTTGTTCGCTGTCGGCGGGTGGGAGAACTCTCAGTATTTCAGTAAAATGGCTTCGTCGCCTCAAAGCAGAGTGGTGTTTATCTCGTCCGTTATCAAACTCATTCAAAAATACGGTAAGGAGAATGTTTTTAGACTTAATATGTTGTGTATGGTGGTATTTTTTAGAAAGTTTGAGTCCCGTGTCATGATTTAAATCTTACCTAACCTATCTTTGTAAATAGTCATAAGAAACTACTGATAAAATATTAGTTATAAAAGAAAATAACGATATAACAGCTGATAATGACTCCTAATAAACAAAAAAAAATCAGTAATAAATGGAAAGGAGGGGAGAAAATGTAGATGAGAGTTGAGAGGAAAATGTAAGCAAACACACGCATAATCGTGAAGCAATGTGATTTCTTCTAGGGAAAAATAATTAACAAATTAAAAAAATAAAATAACTGTGAGTCAACTAACAGTCAATTGGAATTTGAAAATATTTAAGTTAATTTTTGTTTATAATAATGTATTGTAATAATTAAAGTGAATACAAATTCTGGATATTTTAGAAGTCTTGGTTTTTTACATTAAAGAATGTAATAAGAATGACAACTGAAAATGATTTTTTTTATATAATAGACAACAGACTAGTTTAAATGGCTATTACTTTTTAAACTTTTTAAAGGTTTTTTATTCAATCAAAAAAATATAGTCATTATAACCTGTTTGTTGAGTTAATCGTGCGACTTTACGTTTGTGTCAGGTTTTGACGGAGTGGATATCGATTGGGAGTACCCAGTAACCGGAGGTGCCGTCGAAGGAGTACCGGCAGACAAAAACAACTATGTGCTTCTCATGAAGGAACTGCGTCAGGCTTTGGACTCCTACAAAGCAGAAGCAGGTAAAATTGTATGATCCGTATATTTTACAAGTGTGACTGAGTCGTTCTCCTATTTCGTTCAATATCCGTCCCGTCAAAGGTTCCAGACACATAATCTTCACTTTCTTCTATTATTACATTAGTAAGTTTTGAACTATTAAACTTCAAAAGGGACGAGAGATTCCCACAAACAAACGTATGACCTATTCACTATCTCAAAGGGCTGGCCTATCTCAAGATGTGATAATGTATAGAGGATAAACGAACTTTAACAATTGGGCCTATTTAACGACTAATAGTTGGGTTTTTTTTATTGTAGGCCTACGTACAGTAGATGTCCATTTTAATTATTTAAGTGTTTTTCTATCTATTTCATGCCTACTCCATCTCTGTCAATTCATTGATTTTAATCGTATAATTCTATAACCTAAGACTCAACTCCATAAAGGACCTTTTCGCTAGTATAATTAGTATAAGTCTATCTAAGAGTTAAGGAGAAATACAGGTATTAAAATTGCTTTTTTCAGGTCGGAGAAGTGATTTCCTGATATCTTTTGCCGGCGCAGCGGGTCAGTGGACTTTGGATCCCGGGTTTGACTTGCCAGGGCTGCTTAAGTATGCCGACTTTGCCAACGTGATGACGTATGATTTCTTCGGAGCTTGGGCCAGCAAATGGGGTGCGTACACGGGACCTCCCGCCCCTCTGTATTTTGGGATGCCACCACGGTTTTCTGGCAAGACAAACGTCGACTGGACCATCAAGTACTACACTTGCAAGAGTAAGTTACCGCATAAGATCAACATGGGCTTGCCGTTTTACGGCCGGTATTGGAGTAACGTGGGCGATTCGGTAGACGGCAAAGACGAAATGTGGCGAACGGCTAACGCGGTCGGAGGTGTTTTTCAGGGTGGATACACGCCTTGGTTTAAGCTACAGCAAGACCATTTGGACGACAACCAGTTCCAACAGCGTTTCCACGAGAAGAGCAAATCACCTTACGCATGGAATCCGTCGACAAAAGTGTTTTTAGGCTACGAAAATGAAAAATCTCTGTCTTTCAAAGCGAAGTACGCTGTGGATAAGAACGTCGGTGGCCTGATGATCTGGTCGGTCGATTTGGACGACGACCAACTGACATTGTTGAACGCCGTTTACAAAGCACCGTTATGCGACAAAACCGATCCTAACGATGTTAACCACAAGTGTTCGCCTATTGACGAAAAGCGCTGGTAATATGATAACATATTATTATGTTTTAATGACACTTCTTATTGAAATAAATATTAAGTCAGTTGATATATCCGATATTGTATTATGTGTTTTTTTAGGTGGACCTCCGAAGACAGCGATGACGTTGCAGGGCTTTGTGGTAGATCGGCCCCCCTCTATAAAGGTTACTATCCTGTATGCGATCCGGACGACCCGGGTTACAGCTGCTGTGGCCCCTCCGGCTATTGTGGATCAGGCGAGAAGTACTGCGACTGTCCCACTTGCAAGGACTACGGGAAAAACCCATCGCTAATAATGGAAGGTCCGATCAAACCCACCGTGCCGGTCACGTGGTATTTCTTGAACGCCAAGGACGGCTTGCGCGGCCGGTGAGTGTAGAGAACTCGATAAAATAGAATACTTTAAGAAAATTTTAAGGAAAATCGATAATCCCTGGCTAACTGCTAAGGGAATTAGCTTATGAAATGAAAAAATTAAAATATAAAATGTTTTCTCTGGTTCAGTGAAAAATTGTGAATCGCGCAACGCTTTTGAGCTTAGATGACGAGATAGTCTTCTTTTCTCTTCTCATCCCTCACTACACTTCTCTCCGCCCTCTTCCATCACTGTCTTTGGTCTCCACTCTATTTCCTCCCCACTACTAAATTTCATTGACCTTTGTCGCAATGACGCTAATTCCAGATGGACCTTCAGCACAAACACATATCGTGTTAAAATCTCATATCGGTTATCCAGGTACTATAGATTTCCACTTACCACTGGTGGTCACTTTCACTTTCTTCTCCTCTACACCACCACGAAACTAGCTTTACCTAACCTAAATTTCCGATCTCGCGAAGACGCTAAACATATCCATGAACTTCCTGTTAAAGTTACTCTCGAGCCTGGAAATATGGTCGAACTGATAGGATTTTTTTTATGTAAAAACCACACGGGGTCTCTCTAGGATGGTTTATTAAAATATTGCCGAATTTTTGCAGGTGTGGCCGAAAAATACCTAAAATCCAAGGCGTTTACCCCACGTGCAATCCGGACGACAGCAACGCTCATTGTTGCTCCAACGGCAACTATTGTGGTAAATCTGCCGAGTTTTGCAAATGCCAGGGATGCGTTGACTTCAAGAAGAATCCCACTTACCGGTTCGGCCCGAAGAAATGGTGGACTCTGGAAGACGGTCCGAAAAGGGCGGGCACGTGCGGACCCAAAGCCGACAAGGTCGATGGCGTTTACGAAGCCGAGTGCGAGCCAAACACTAAGTTCAGCTGTTGTAGTCCCAACGGTTATTGCGGATCCGGCAGCGACTATTGCGACTGCAAAGGCTGCATACGCTTTTAACTAGAGCCAATAATTATAAGGTATATAATACACCACAATACAACACTCACAAAACAGGAAAAAAAGATCATTGGATCGAGTACGACGACCCGGAATTGTTTAACTCGACTAAAGAGATTAATACTGTATTTTTTTAACCAACTATTAACTATTATACAATACCGAACACTATGTTTGTTGGTTTTAAAAAAAACATGTAATAACAACTATTACTTCATGTACAAAACGAATATATTATAATTTCAAAATTATATTACTTGAATATAATTTAACTTATAACACTATTGGAGTATATTATTTTATTAATACACGGGATAAAAATACATAATTGGTCCACCTCAAATAATTATAGTCAATGTAGGCACTCAATACAGTTGGAGTAACTAAAAACATATAATTGCTTTAACTAAACATTTAGTCGACCGAAATAAATGTATAGTTGCTTTAACTAAAAATGTATTTTCATTTAGTTATTCCAACTATAAATATGTATTGTGTCCTTATATAGAAGCCATGACTTTAGTTGGTCCTACTATGTATTTTTTCGCTGTAAAAGCATTAATTTTTTTATTGTTTTATTTCGAAAACGTATTTTTGACGAATAAACCAGTTATTAATCAAATAATACTTTGATGTTTACACGTGTTACATTAACACTTGAATTTTACTCTTTTGGAGTTGGTGTTGGGTGGTGAGGAGAGGGGGCTGTAAAATTATTTCTTAATATGATACAAATTTAATACCAAAGAATCAATTGTTCTGTATAAGCTAAGTATCCTTTTACAGCTCTTTAAAATCGTTCACTCACCGACTGCAAATTCAACAAACTGTTTATTTTCATGTTATGGATCCGTAGGTACAATTATTCTATAATCAGAGATATCCGGCAAACGCTACCATTAACGCCGTTAGGCGTACAATTTATGCGATTGTCAATATTATTATTATTGTATTATGTAAACTGGTTACAGTCAAGAAGACCCTCGCTGTCATGATTAACGTATATGTGTGTGTTTGGAGGTCAAGGTATCAATAATAATTATTTTAAACCTGCTATTAAAATAAAATACAGTATAATTCCCATCATAACCGTTGCCGGTCGTGTACGGTGTCGGTTAACACAAAAAATTAAAAATAAATACTTGTCTTGCCCGAAACATGGTGTGTTTATGATATCGTTTTTTATTGTCTTTTAATTATTATGATTTTGTGTTTTAATTTCAACTACAACCATGCGGTCGTGCTTTTTGCACTGCTACTACAACAAGTTTACTGCATTAAAGGTGAGTACTATAATATTATGTGTATTATGCCTATTACAGTATTAATTATTCAGTGTTTATAAATTAGCAGCAATTGAAACCGTTCAATTAGATATTATACTGTATACAAACATATTTTTATCGCATCGATTAAGAACACATTATTATTATCACACAATTATTGTAATCAAAATATTAAAAAAACGATAATAACATTTTCAAATATGTGAATTGTTTAATTTTTATTTATTTTCAACGTTCGGTAAAATTAACCTAACCGTAGACACAGCAAGAGGCGACTTGAGTTTAAATTTAATTACTCTGTGCAGGAAAATAATTTAAAAAAAAATACATTAATTGTTTTTAGGAATTTGTATTTTGTATTTGACCTATAATAATCTAATCAGATGTTATTGTTATTATTTAACTAAAAAATATTAGAGCAAAAGAGACATTTTTAATTTCAATTTTTTTCCAAAGTAAACAGTAAGATATTAAGTATGGTTTTATTAGTCTTTTTTTCAACGCTTAAACCGACAAATAAAAACTGTTTGTATGTTAGGAGAAGTCACATTTGAATGGATAGATTGTTCAAATCTAGTCTCTTGGTTAAAACTCTCCAGGTTTGCAGTGAATTTAGATGCGATCAAATTAAGTTGGAGACTACTTTGGGTGTCCTAATGAACGGCTAAGAAAGCTTTGGTCATTCGCTAAGACACCGGTAATTATACAGTGAGCTGTGTGAGGATCTGAGGCAGGTATATAGGTTGAACAAGTACGGATGAGGGTTGTTGCAGACCGAAGTGTTCAAATGGTTTGACCCAGTAAAGACATTCCGAACAGATGTAATGAGTAAGTTATAATAGTGTGATTATAGAGACAGTTGTCACTTTAGGTATGAATGTGAAAGTCCAATAACTAGACTTGAACTCATTGATTTAAATATCCCAGATTTGCAGTAAATTGAGGCGTGGATGATAACTATTAGGTTATTTTGGGGTCTGAATAAAGGACTAAGAGCACTTTGGTCATCTGCAAAGACACCAGTGATTATATTGTCAACTGTGGATTGACCTAAGGTATATAGGTTGAATAAGAATAGGGCTGCTATTGCATTTAGAGAATGGGGGTTATTTCAGACTGAGCCAGCACGAACAACAAAGTCTGTGGCTTCTAAATAACAGCGAATGACAAATACAAATTGTACATTAATTAGTTGAATTTTAAATGTTGTCTAGGTGAAAACGAATGTTGGTGGACGGGATGTCAGCCGAGTACTTGGGCAGTGACCGGATGCGGTCAGTACAACCGGACGCAGAAAGACATCAAGAGTTGCACCGACGGTTCAGAGTATTATTGCTGTCCGATTGTTGTGCAACCAGAATCTTCCCAAAAAGACTGCTGGTGGACTGGTTGTCAGCCAAGTACTTGGGGTGTTACCGGATGCGGTCAGTATAAAAGGACAGAAAAGAACAAATTGCCGTGTGACGGTGGGTTCGAGTACGAATGTTGCGAGCTATCCAACAAAGACACACACAACGACAATGGTAAGAAACCTATTTTCCTGGACGACAACTGTTGGTGGTCCGGATGTCAGCCAAAGAACTCGAATGGTGACCGTTGCCCGGTGAACACAATTCTAAGACAAACGGCGACTTGTGACGAAGAAGATGATAGTATTATGGTTCAGTGTTGTGCAAACAATACCGGTAACGGGTAAGCAACAACTACTAATTGAGATTAATAAAAACTAATATTTTTAAAAAATAGCAAAGTCTAAAGCTATGCAGTCTAAACGAGTTTACCATTTGCCAATTTTTTGAGGTTCATTCATTTAACCTATACATTTTACTTAAGTAAAAAAAAAATGGTCAAAGTTTCTTATAAGCGATCAAGACGATTGAGTAACTATGACACACTCTCAATAACCTAAAAGATTTAGACATTGTAAAATGGTTTTTTTTTTTAGATTTTATAATTAATATTAGTTCTATTTCTTCTTTCACAGCTTTTACAGTCCATGTAGGACCTTTGCTGCCTCAACCACTCCTTATGATTTAAAACTTTTGAACTTAATCTTTATAAATGAAACTTGTATAGTTTACTAACTTTTGAAATTATAGATAATTTACTGGACATTTCGATTTGTCGATAACTAGTTTTAAGTAATTACTTATAAAGTTAAACAATTATTGAAACTTGAGTGGGGTATTGTAGTTTCACAATTAGTTATTAAAGTTTATAAGTCTAACCTATTTTAAAAGTAAAAACTTGTTGTCGACCGGTCAACATTTTCAGAAAATTATTGTTAATTTAAAATAATACATGTATACGTTAAACTTCATAATTCTCATAGAGTTAAAAAAATTATCAAATTTGGGTCGACTAACAACTAAACAATTATTATTTTAAAAAGAATAAAATCTTTGGACAATATTAGCTGGGCCATAGTTAACCCATCAATTAAAGAAGTTTAAAATAAATCAATTTAAAAAAAAAAATTACAAAGTACGCGTTATTTAGCAACAGGGAAGTAATACGAACAACAAAACACTTCGACAGCATGTTATTTTTGTACCCACTGTTGAGATTTGAGCCTCCGACGTTTACCCTAGAATTTATTTTAATGATAGCAAAGCTAATTATTTCAATTTCATTTAAAAATCGTTTAACATGAAATAAAAATATTTTGACAAGTAAACGTCCTACAAAACTTACTAGTTATCGTGAAGTGTTATTAATGTAAAATATGATGGTAACATGCAAACTAAGCAATTTGGATGTATTTATATATTATACAGTACAGATACTATATTAATAGTAATAATGTATTACTGTTAATATATACATTAGGTTTACTTCAATTATGTATCAATATATATTATTTTTAAATATATTTAATAAATTTGAACAGTTTTAGAACTTTTTTAACAATGACTTTTGTAGAAACAATACTGGTATAAATATTATTTAAAAAAAAATGATTATTCATGTTTTCCAAATAAATGTTTAAAAAATGTGTTTAGATAACAATCTCAAAAAAAAAAGAATGTTAAAGAAAAACTGTCATGTTTTTATTCAATGCTGAGACCGATTTACTTGGCACAAAAACCCAAAATCCATTCCCTTCACCATAGTATATTGTATCTATATTTGTATTAATTCGGTTTAATACACAAAGAATACCAGGCTACAATGAAGAACCTTGTGTGGAGGTTCAGGGTGATTACATTATAGAAAAAAAAAATTATAAATAGACAGTTATGAATAATTAATTTATACAGAAAAGTAAACAGAACAAACAAGTATTGCAGAAATAAAATGTAATAATATTCTGTAGAAAACGGTTAAAACGTTCTAGGATCAAACTGGAAACATTGTGCTTCTTTATATTTAGATACTACTAGATTTTTTGGCATCAATTTAATTAGAAATAAATAGATAATAAAAAATAATTGTTTTTGCCTTTTAACTTTGTTTTTTAATAATAATTATTTTTTTCTAAATATGGCCCGGTCTATAAGTAATCAATCTCTCAACTCGTGGATGAATTTATTTTTTTAGCTTGTCGCATGATTTACTAATTTTGGTAAAGTCGATAACAGAGACAACAAAATATCTTATTCTACAAAATGTTCTCTCAATAATCGCTCTATTTAAATCTACTGTTATTGAACTAAAACTTAAATATTCGAATTTAATTTTCAAAAAGAAGCTGACAAGGCATTGATTTTACAATGATGTGTTTTCATTTGTTATTTTTGTGTCTGGACCCACAATGTCGGCTCTCTGGCTTAAAAACTGTAGAAGTAATGACTATTTTTGCTGTTATCGGTCGAACATACCTTATCCCTTGATAAGAGTTTGGTTTTTGATTATGTTAATATGGCCACCGATAGTCTTAGAAAAATGACTGTGTTTTATTTGGTTACTTGAGTTAAAAAATTGTAAAAGAGAATAAATTTTTATTTTTTTATGACTCCCTAAAAATATTAATACAATTTTAAACACATTATTTTCCAGTACAACGATTTGTTAACCGACCTGAGACTATGCCTCAACCCTTCAGTGCTGGCTTTTTTTAAATTTAAGTATGGTGTTGTGTAATGATTTATCTTTTCCCTAAATTCGGAATGGGTGACACATAAATTATAAAACCATATTTAATTAAAAAAAAAAAACACATAATTGTAGTACAATACCAGCTCAGCAAAATTCATAATATTTTAAATATATAACTTAAACATTTTTCTACTTTTTTTTTTCACAGCGACGACGACGACGAAGAGACGTTATCCGGAACGTCATTTTCTGATTTCGTTAAGTATCTACTGATGAAGAGCAACAACTTCACCATCGTACCCGACAGACTCCGATGTGACAAGGTGGACGTGAACAAAGCGCACATAATCCAAATAAAAGACGAAGGGATCCGCGTTTGCGACTTGTGTCCGAATTTCCCGCAACAACGTTACAAAAACGTGTACTTGGACAAAGAGCCCATCGGTAAGTACGATAATATGGATTTTTCAAGTTGTTTTGGACTTTGCTTCGACACGAACAACTGCACGGCATTCAGCTTCGACCATACCGCCGGACGGTGTTACATTTTCGACAGCACTGACGGAGAGCTCAGAGAGGAAGAAGAATGGACCACGGTGTTCATGACCCAACCGGTCGGAGTGCTGAACGATTGGATGTACTCGCGCCACACCTCGGCAGTGGGCACCAACCCTTTGAGCCAAGAAAAGGAAACTTCTTTTTTGTCTTGTTTGAGTAAATGCAACGACCAAAAGCACTGCACCGTTGTGTCTTATTTTCTGCTGGACTTGACGTGCACTACTTACGGTAACGTCGAAAAGGACATAGAGCTAGTGGACTTCGAGTACGGCTACGTTTCCGCTTTTCGTTTGGCGGATTTGACCATTGGCAATACGAATACTTGGAGATTTGTCGAGACAGGTGATAGTGTACTGTCGCTGAAATCAACGACAAGCCTAAGCACAGGACAATGTTCGTCGTTCATCAACGACACTCACGGTAGTTATTTCTCCAAGCCTTGTTTCACCACCTCGTTGGCCGGTTGCGACGTCAATACTGGATGCAAAACGTGTTACTACCCCGAACGAACGGGTCAAGCGGAAAACCTGAGCATTTGTCCTGACAGCGATGTCTATTTTTTGGACGACATGAACAAAATAATACACGCCGAAATGGAAAACTGTTTGCAGACAACGGAATGTATGGGATTCGGATTGAACTCGAAACGAACCGAGCAGATTACCCTGACGACGTTTGGACTGTACCAGTACGCCAAAACGTTCATGTTGAAGTTCCCCAAACAACCCGTAGGAGTTCACGCCTATCTTAAGGACTACGATTTCGTCGAAAATCTCGGAGTAATTGCTATCGAAGGCGCGGAAAGTGAATTAAAAATGTCCAATGAGGTGACGTTCGACGAGTGTATGTCCGAATATAAGAGCTCCACGTATAAGCGAATGTCCTATTCTAGACGGAAAAAGGAATGCGTTCTTTCGTCTGATGTGGTGAAATTGACGGAAGGCAAAAACGTTTTTACTGTGTTCAAAAAACCCTCGTTAAAATCGTCGTCGTTGAATTACTTGCGGACTCCAGGCGTACGGTTGAATTCGTCATTGGCCACTATGCGACGTGATTGCAAACAAAATTGCGAAGAAGTCTGTTCCCGCGTGTGCAATCAGCCGTCTAACGGATGGTGCGCTTACATATCTATAAAATATTTACCCAATTCTTCAAAGTGCTATTTTTACGGCATCAGCGACGAAGCCGAGTTGAAACTTCACCCTTCGGAAAGCTCCATGGTGCTTGTAGCGCAGAGCAAATCGAATTTCACCTTGGCCGGACTGAATAAGGTGAACCCATTCTCTGGCGATGAAAATATGCTATTAAACTGTTTCATCAAGGATAACAAGCAAACCCAGACCACATTGACCGTATTCAATAAGCCGGGTGAAACGGCATTGGCCATACGTAACAAGAGAGGATTTTTCAGTTTTATCGGTAATGCGGTAAAGTCAGTAGGTGAAGCTGTAGTTGAAGCGGTTAAAGACACAGTGGATACAGTTGTGGACACCGGTCAAGGAGTTGTTAATGCGGTGGGAAATGTGGTCAAAGGAGATTTTGAAGGGGCCAAAAATGCAATAACAGACATACCGATCGTCCAAGACGTCTCGAACGCCGTTCAACTGGGCGGTGCTGTTTTGTCCGGAGACTGGGATGCGGTTAAAGAAAAAGGATTAGACCTCCTAGGATCGTCGTTGTTAGATGTCGGTCTGTCAGTGGTCGCGCCGGGTGTAGGTAAGATCATTGGAAAAGGTTTGAAGGGCATCTCCAAAGCGGCTAAAACGGCTATTAAAGGGGCAAAAAAGAAAATACAAAAAGCCGGAAAAGATATAACACCTAAAAGAGCGGACGTGAACAAATCGAAGAACAATAAAAATAAAAACAAAGACAAAGACAAGGATAAAAACAAAGACCAAGGAAGTGACAGAAATGACAACAATCAGTGTGAAGCACGACCCAAACGAGCAATTTTCAGATCTAATAAACGAGGTAAAAATGTTGGTGCTAAGGGATGCAATGCCGCTAGATGTGATAAGCCGACGCGTGTCACCAACGCCATGAAAGATACTTTTCAAAATTGTAATGATAAGCTATTGCATACGTATTGTAATTTTGAATGTAAAACTGGTTTTCAAGAGAGTGATCCCCGCCTCAAGTGTACAAGACAAAGTGGCAATAAAGCCGCCTGGTTCCCAAGACCAACGTGCACTGTGTACACTTGCCAAGACACTGCTTTTCCTGTAATTCCCGTAATGACACCAAAAGTCGACGGGCTCACCTCAATATCAACGAGCAAATATATTGTCTCCTACGTAGCGTTGTTCGACAAAGCCCGTAAACTACCCGTGTGGTCGGTGGCCTTACACCAGAGCAGTCAGTTCCAGTCTAAAAGGTCGGTAACTCTATCATGTTTATTCATCCAACTGTACTCGATTAATGACATTTTCACCTTAATTTTGTTTCAGCTATAATGATGCCAGAGATTTTGAACGGGCAGACAATTTTTTCTTGTACCCCTGCAAGGCATTAAAAAATCATCAGTACCTTTCTAGCGCCTACACGAACGGCAGTTATGACCGTGGACACTTGACTCCATCCAATGTCGCTCGGTGGTCAAAAAAGGCTACGAAAAGCACGTTCGCGATGATTAACATCGCTCCTCAGCATTCCTACATCAACGAACACCCGTGGCAAACGCTAGAGTTCCACGTGGAGTGTTTTAGTTCGACCAGGCGAACGTTGGTGGCGACCGGTGTTTGCAAGAAAACGCTGGGGAAAACAAAAGGCAAGACAAAAATCGACGTGCCTGATTGTTTTTGGAAAATGTTGTGCTATAAAGACGAGGAGGGGATGGAACAAGTCGTTGGTTTCATAGCGAAGAACTCAGATTATAAGGATAAAGATTATGACAAGCGAGAAAAAGAAATATTCACTCCAGTTTCGCAAGCCGAAATTAGTAAGCTCTACGACAGCTTGTTGTTCAACCCGTGGCTTATGTCGGTGCAAATAAACGTGGGAAGAGAAATTGGCATTAATCCCGGATTCACCGATTTTAACAACAACCATCAGACTATTTGGATGCCCGTGAACCCCAACGACTGTAGGAGAGCGATGGAATTATCTCCGGAAGAGAAACAAGGTTGGGAAGACAAACTGATGGGTCCAAAAACGAAACAAAAACGTGCCATAATAAAGAGGCTTAAAAGAGGATGTACCAAGTCGGAACTGAAGGAAAAACGAGAGTTTGCCGAGTTACTGAAGACGCGTGCTGTGGAGTCAGATGACTCAGATGACTCAGATGGCTCAGATGAATCGGAAACTGGTGAAGACACAGCCGGAGACGGAAGCGTAGACGTTTCGGTACAGAGTTGCGGCAAACGTATCGTTGGGTATTACACCTCTTGGGGTGTGAAAAAGATCAACAGCAAAATTTTGTCCAAGCTCACTCACGTGATATACGCTTTTATGGAGATGCACAGTGACGGAACGGTCAGCATAGGATCGCCGGACAAAGCACACAGCGAAGACGTGGAAAAAGAAACGCAAAAGTCTCGCCAAAGATTAGAACACCTGATGAACTTGGCCAAGTTTTATCCGCATGTGAAAATCTTGTTCGCTGTCGGCGGGTGGGAGAACTCTAAGTATTTCAGTAAAATGGCTTCGTCGCCTCAAAGCAGAGTGGTGTTTATCTCGTCCGTTATCAAACTCATTCAAAAATACGGTAAGGAAAATCATTTTTTTACTTATGTACTTATTTAAATGCACATGACTTTCAACACACTTGAAATAGGTTTTGACGGAGTGGATATCGATTGGGAGTACCCAGTAACCGGAGGTGCCGTCGAAGGAGTACCGGCAGACAAAGACAACTATGTGCTACTCATGAAGGAGCTACGTCAGGCCTTGGACACGTACAAAGCAGAAGCAGGTAAAACTACTCACGATTCGTATATTTTACTAAGAAAGACAACGATAACTGTATCATTCTCCAATTTTATTTGAAACATTATCAAAATGAGCCTGTGGCCTCTGTTTAAATTATCTCCTACGCTAACTGTCATTCATAGCTTGTAAACATTCTAAACTAATCCCCTGACTAACTTTATCGGCGAACAAGTTCTCTATTGAACGAAGTAGACCACAAGGCTAGTACCCTGAAAAATATGTGTGAGCATAACTTCTCTATCCCATATTGTTGATCTCTATTTAATTTGTGGTAATTTCTTCATTTTAAACTGCTGGTCCTAGCTAGGTTTCATTATCTTGGGCCAACGTCTAGTGGTTGTTCATTTTGGGTATTTAAGTTTTTTTATGTATATAATTCCTATTCCACTCCCTCAATTCAATGATTTTAATCATTTAATTCTATAAAGACTTTGTGAAATAATTTTTCGCCAGTATAATTAGTATTAGTCTATCTAAGAGTTAAGGAGAAATACAGGTAATAAAATTGCTTTTTTTAGGTCGCAGAAGTGATTTTCTGATATCTTTTGCGGGCGCAGCGGGTCAGTGGACTTTGGATCCCGGGTTCGACTTGCCAGGGTTGCTTAAGTATGCCGACTTTGCCAACGTGATGACGTATGATTTCTTCGGAGCTTGGTCCAGCAAATGGGGTGCGTACACGGGACCTCCCGCCCCTCTGTATTTTGGGATGCCACCGCGGTTTTCTGGCAAGACAAACGTCGACTGGACCATCAAGTACTACACTTGCAAGAGTAAGTTACCGCACAAGATCAACATGGGCGTGCCGTTTTACGGCCGGTATTGGAGTAACGTGGGCGATTCGGTAGACGGCAAAGACGAAATGTGGCGGACGGCCAACGCGGTCGGAGGTGTTTTTCAGGGTGGATACACGCCTTGGTTTAAGCTACAGCAAGACCATTTGGACGACAGCCGATTCAAACAGCGTTTTCACGAAAAGAGCAAATCGCCGTACGCATGGAATCCGTCGACAAAAGAGTTTTTGGGCTACGAAAATGAAAAATCTCTGTCTTTCAAAGCGAAGTACGCTGCGGATAAGAACGTAGGTGGCCTGATGATCTGGTCTGTCGATTTGGACGACGACCAATTGACTTTGTTGAACGCTGTTTACAATGCACCGTTATGCGACAAAACCGATCCTAACGATGTTAACCACAAGTGTTCGCCTATTGACGAAAAGCGCTGGTAATATGATAACATATTATTATGTTTTAATGACACTTCTTATTGAAATAAATATTTTAGTTTTCAAAAATCCACACCTAGTTTTAGGCTAAAAATATCCATATTTAGCGATATAATATGTATAGTATATATGGTGTTCACTTTTCCCATTTCAAATTATAGGTAAAAATCTAGTCATTCAGTGGAGGGTACCCCCTATCCTTGAATTAACCTACAATAAATTGTTAAGTTTAAGTACTATTATATTTTGAAAATAACAATTACTTATTTTAAGACCTGAAGTCTAAAAACTGGACTAATGAAAAGAAAAAGAAATATAAAATTTCTTCCGGAGAAGAGATTTATTTAATGTTCTTTGTTTACCCTTTAAATTAGTATGACCATTATGTTTACCAAAAATTATTAAATTTTTTATTACAAAACTAATTATTCTCAAAAAAATTTTGCTGCGAATAAATTCTAATTCGTGCAATACATGGTTTACAGTTGTTTATTTAAATACATTTTTAACGCTTTTTTAAACGAGTTATAAAAAATTCCTAAAAATAAAAATATTATACGATTTCCTTAGTTGTTTTTCAAGTTATGAAAAAAATGTTTCGCTTAATATTGGTCTCTTATATATTAGGTACTAAGCATATTCATCTTTGCACACCTGTAAAAAAAGGTTAGGTGCCTTAACAAGGTATCTAAATCTTTGAAGGGGCCACTTCAACACTGAATAAACCATAATGCTTAGAAACTACAATCCAAGAGTAAGTTAATTTCGTGTATACTTGAATATATTGTCAAGGACGACAATAAAAATAAAAAAATGCTATATTATTTCTTGTGATTTTTTGCTAATCATATTTCGTATACTATTTTAATTTGCCATTTTTTGTTAGCAAGTATACATAGTCAACAAAAATATTTATGATAACGGCTGTGATTGTTTGTTATAGATTACCACCAGTCAATAAATAAAAAAATAATATAATAATAATTATCAAGTGATAAATTTGTTATATAGGTTATAAGTAAAAAAAATTGAACGTAGGACTAAGATAGCTAATATGGAATATAACACAATATAATATAATAAAATGATAACTATTCGTTTTTAATAGCGTTTCAAATTTAGCATTTTATATGGTATCAACACAAACTAATATTATCGTTTACAATTCAAATTTTTCCATAAATTTAAATATCTGTTGTAAAACACAATTACTTTATACTATTAATAAATTAACGAAGGCAAATATTTAGTCATTTTAAAATATTGAAAGAAAACATAAACAAGTGTCTCAAAAAAAAAAAAATACTACAAAATTGCCATTATTTAAAGGGAAAATTAGTGACTTGTCCTTAATCAACCATTCTGTATTATATAAAAGTACAGGTTATGTGGATTTTTGGATTTTCATATCCGAATTTTTTTCGATTTTCGATTTTTGGATAATCCTAAGTTATGTCACAACACTAGCACATTAAAGTCAGTTAAGGTATCTGATAATGTATTATGTCTTCTTTCAGGTGGACCTCTGAAGACGGCGATGACGTTGCAGGACTTTGCGGTAGATCGGCACCCCTCTATAAGGGATACTATCCTGTATGCGATCCGGACGACCCGGGATACAGCTGCTGTGGCCCGTCCGGCTATTGCGGATCCGGTGAGAAGTACTGCGACTGCCCCACGTGCAAGGACTACGGGAATAACCCATCGCTGATTTTGGAACGTCCGATCAAACCCACCGTGCCGGTCACGTGGTATTTCTTGAACGCCAAGGACGGCTTGCGCGGCCGGTGAGTGTAGAGAACTCGATAAAATAGAATACTTTAAGAAAATTATAAGGAAAATCGATAATCCCTGGCTAACTGCTAAGGGAATCAGCTTATGAAATATAAAAATAAAAATAAAAAATATTTTCTCTGGTACACTGGAAAACTGCGAATCGCACAACGCTTTTGAGCTTAGATGACAAGATAGTCTTCTTCCCTCCCCTTCCCTCTCACTACACTTCTCTCCGCCCTCTTCCATCACTGTCTTTGGTCTCCTCTCTATTTCCTCCCCACTACTAAATTTCATTGACCTTTGTCGCAATGACGCTAATTCCAGATGGACCTTCAGCACAAACACATATCGTGTTAAAATCTAATATCGGTTATCCAGGTAATATAGATTTCCAGTTACCACTGGTGGTCACTTTCACTTTCTTTTCCCCCTTACCACCACGAAACTAGCTTTATCTAACCTAAATTTCCGATCTCGCGAAGACGCTAAACATATCCATGAACTTCCTGTTAAAGTTACTCTCTAGCCTGGAAATATGGTCGAACTGATAGGATTTTTTTTATGTAAAAACCACACGGGGTCTCTCTAGGATGGCTTATTAAAATATTGCCGAATTTTTGCAGGTGTGGCCGAAAAATACCTAAAATCCAAGGCGTTTACCCCACGTGCAATCCGGACGACAGCAACGCTCATTGTTGCTCCAACGGCAACTACTGTGGTAAATCTGCCGAGTTTTGCAAATGCCAGGGATGCGTTGACTTCAAGAAGAATCCCACTTACCGGTTCGGCCCGAAGAAATGGTGGACTCTGGAAGACGGTCCGAAAAGGGCGGGCACGTGCGGACCCAAAGCCGACAAGGTCGATGGCGTTTACGAAGCCGAGTGCGAGCCAAACACTAAGTTCAGCTGTTGTAGTCCCAACGGTTATTGCGGATCCGGCAGCGACTATTGCGACTGCAAAGGCTGCATACGCTTTTAACTAGAGCCAATAATTATAAGGTATATAATACACCACAATATAACACTCACAAAACAGGAAAAAAAGATCATTGGATCGAGTACGACGACCCGGAATTGTTTAACTCGAACAAACATGTAATAACAACTATTACTACATATATACAACGAATATATGTGTTATATTTAAAAAATTATATTACTTGAAAATAATTTAACTCATATAACTATTGGAGTTTATAATTTTATGGACACACGGTGAAAAAATACATACTTGGTCCAACTAAAATAATTATAGGTAATATAGGCACTCAATAAATATGTAGTTGGGGTAAATAAAGAAATATAGTTGCTTTAACTAAAAATGTATTTTCATTTAGTTATTCCAACTATCAATATTTATTGTCACCTTATATAGTAGCCATGACTTTAGTTGGTCCGACTACGTATTTGTTTCCTGTAAAAGCATTAATTTTTATTTTGTTTTATTTTAAAAATATTAACCAAATAATACTTTGATGTATTACATAAACACTTGTATTTTACTTTTTTATCACACACTGTCATATTGTTTTAAGTGGACGTTACGTATCAACTAAAACTTAAAATACGATATTAAATATAAGATTTGTATTTAAAAAAAAAATTGATTTTATACTTTTTGTATTCAATTCCTAACAAAAAACAGATGTATGACACGAAGGTGAACCTACGAGTACTATTGTCATGCATAATAGTACATACTATAAGATATTATGATCATTTATATTGAAAGTCATATGTCTCATATAAAAAGAAAACAATTAATATGTGAGAGTTTTGTAGATATAGCCGTGAGAATCCAAGAAAAGAGTTGTAATTAATTAAACAATAACTAGTTTAAAATGAATTAAATTTTAAGTTCATTTATTTCCCATGGTGAACAGTAATACTATATAAACCGTAATAGATCATCGCTTAATACCTACAATTAGTATAATTACTTGGTTTGTATGTTTAGTGTGTGTATTTTGTTATTTTCAACCCAACTTCCTCTTATTCGGGTCGCGTGACAAAAAAAAAAGGTTATTATAGGTAAAATTAAGAGAGCATCATAAAGCGATTCGGTGTTTACTAATTAATTAGTACCTACTCGGTACGATAACATGGTATCATTTTCGTTTTTAACGATAATTTGATTTGTTATACTGCTAATTTTAGTTTTGTAGCCATTAGTTAATACTGTACAGGTGTTTTTGTCGATCTAAGAAGGCCGGGGGAATAATATGCTCATCCCTATGTATTATATTGGCCCGGATCGAATGTAATAAATGCAATGATAAATTATTTAATAGATAAACGGTTCGATGCGTCACCTGCACAGTTTTACCGTGTTCAGCTTAGGTTTAATAATTCACTCTTGAATTTTGGCATAATTTGGACATAATAAATGTTTTGTTAATTTTTACTCCCAAAGTATGCAAAATATCAAATTTTACTAAGACATGGTTCGTCGTTTTTCAAATTTTGAAGAAAAAAAAATGTCTTATTAAAATAAAATAAAAAAGAAATTAATTTAGCCCCATTCCCGTTATTAGATGAAAACAACTGATTTGATTATATTTTGACTTAATGATCAAAATTAAAAACGGGTCAACATTGGTGTTTTTTTAAAAATAATTTAAAAAACCTTTATTTTACGAGTCAAAATGAGTGATAAAAACTTCAAACAAATAAAGGTTTCATATTCAAAGTTATACAAATTAAAAAAATTATTCAAATGAAAAATTATTTTTATATATTTTCATAATTTAGAATATATAATATTTATACAAAATAATATTTTCAAATATAATTACTTGAAAAAAAGCACTTACAACCTGTTTAAGTAATATTTTTAAAAATCATTCGAATAACTTTTTATTCGAAAAATTGAATTTGAAATTATTCGATACTTTTTAATCGAATAATTAAATTTGAAACTTTTTATTTGAATAATTAAATTTGAAAATATTGAAATAACTGAATTTGAAATTATTCGACACTTTATTTAAATAATTTAATTTGTAATTTTTCAAAACATTTTATTCGAATAAATGAATTTTAAATTATTTGAAAATTTTTATTCGAAAAATTGAATTTGAAATTATTCGATACTTTTTAATTGAATAATGTTTATTTATTTTTTTATTTTTTTATTTTTACACGTAATAAACAATCTGTATCAATTATACTAGACACAATAAGAATATGTGATAAATGTTATAAAAATCATGAATTTTTTTTAAAATAATTGAATAATTAAATTTGAAATTATTCGAAACTTATTATTCGAGTAATTGAATTTTGAAATTATTCGAATAACTTTTACTTAAATACTGTGTAATCTATATGATTATTTAGATAACGCTTTAAACGAATGATGCACAACTACGACTCTATCCCGTTATACACTGACTACCTAGTATAGGCCTGTTTCCTTTCTTCCCCAAAGTCTTCCTCCCCCCCGTCTAACGCAATTATACCGTGTACTTACATAATTATAATATTGTTACACACATTTTTGGAGTTACTGCGATTTTGCTTAGCACGACACAAATATTATAGTTGTTGTTGTTGTTGTCTTGTTGGCCGGTCGGACGGGTAGAGCGCGTTGCCGGCCACCGACGATGCCCGGCAAAACGTCCGACGCCGGCCGGCGACCGCCTGCCGCCGTTGACTTCAGTTGACGCCTGATGGTCGCCGTTGCTGGTTAGTGGTTACTCCTGTCGCCGGTTAAACGTGGTTCGTTGTGTTCCGTCAGCGGTAACGTGCCCGCGACCGCGCGCGTGTGTGTGTGTGTTTACTTTGTTATTACCGTGTTCACGTTTGCCGATCCGAATAATACTAATTAATATTGCGAAAAAATTAATTATAAAAAAAATGACGTTTCGATTTTTCGCGGGCGACGACGGATAGTGAATGATTTTTTAAATTTTAAAAAAGAAAACAAATTAATATAATAAATATATATTATAAGTGATTTTTTATGAATTAATAGTTTTCGACGGTTGTGCTCATCGCTATATAAAATTATAGGTATTGTCTTACTTGGATACTTGAACGATGACCCGTTGGAAAATCGGCGGCGCGAGCCCCGGCATTTGGCTGTTGCTGTCGGCCGCGTTGTTGTTCGTCGGTGTTAAAGGTAAGATGATGAGTTGATATTGTTATCAATCTTAATCTTATCTCCGGTAGATAACTCCAGTTAAAAATGAATCAATTTTCGAGTCGCTCGAACACTCCAAAATCAGTCGGTGGGAGGCATGGTGGACATTAATTGTGTATAGTAAATATTATGCTGATAAATGGAAAATCAGTCTAGAAAGCGAATAGTTAATTGGTTAGGTTAGGTTACCTTACTGCGGTAACGTAGGTAACCGCCGTTTGAATTTTCGAAAAGTTATTCCCCTTTGAACATATTCCAAAAAAAGGTAAAATATATTTGATTTATAAAGACTAAACATCTCGATATTACACATGAACATATATTTATAAAAAGTTATTAGGTTTAAAGGGAAATGCCCTTTTTTTACTTATAGGGCATTTTTTTACTTATAATACTAACAGAATTCCAAAGTAATAAAACTTTTAATTACATTAAATGATAAGTGATAATATAAAAAGGCGTATATCAAGATACGCCTTGTTTACTATGCGTTTTTTATTTTTTTATTATGTGCATTTAGTTGTACTTAAAACGATGGTGTAGTTATTAAAACATACATTTTGTAGTTTTTGTATACAAAAATCGAATTTATCTAGCGCACAAAACTAAATAAGTGGATTTTAGCAAAAATTATTTTTTGTTTTTATCCTACACTCGTTGAAAACTTAAGTATAATCCGGAAAGTTGTTTAAATTTAACAGTTACAACAATTTCTGAAGTGTGCTCTCAAAACCAAGTGCAGGATTACATTATATGTATATGTTTATACGTTTTAAAGTTAATCGTATAATTTATAACGTTGTGAACAAAAAACAAAAGATTGCGATTATTTTTAGAGTAAATTATTAGTGTCGCACGTTGTGTATTGTGATCACTCGGTATATAATAATAATAATAATAATAATCCGATATGCTGTAGTAAATCACAAGCCCAAAAAAAAGGGGAGTCATCCGATCGCTGTGTTGTCGCAGAAAATTTACGATTTCAAACACACTGTATCTTTGGTGACAGCACAACAGGCCTATGAACAAAAAAAAAACACAGGGGTGAACACTGAATAAAAACAATAGTGATAATAATATAATGTGTTTAATGTGATATATTATCGCCGAATAGGTGGTGCTGTTTTGATTCCTAAAAATAGCATTACCGATGTTGGATAAAGTAATGTATATTTTTTTTAAAAAAGCGCTGTCAAAAGTAAATTGATTTCTAGTGTGGAAAAAAAACCATAATCGTGTCCATTTTCCAAATGTATTTCCGTGTCGGCTACACCGCATGTGTTACTGGGATTTGGATTTTAATATTATGCTTGGCATATTATAATGTAAGTGTTTTAACTCCTATTCCTACTAGATCCTGGTTTGCATTAAAGATTATTACTGAAACGATTTCACGCACAGTCATCGCCTGTATTATATCTGCACCATGTCGACGTCTTGTCAGTTGTTGCTTTGTCTGTGGAATTATTTTCAACTATAATCCATAGGTCTTAAAAATTGCTTTTGATGTCTGTACGTTGCTTGGTGTCGACCATGTAAAAATAATTTTTAAAAAAACACGTAAACTTGGCAAAGCGGTGACTAAAATTATTATTTTTTCAAAATTTTAAAAGTAATGTTGACATGAACGCTTTGCCCTCTTTGGTTGGAATTCTTCAAACAATACGAGTATATTTGTACCTTGGGGCTATCGGGGGTCTTAAAAATGTTTATTTTTCATTAGTATCTTTGTTGACTTTTTCGAATTGTCGTCCTCGTTTAGTGGTTTAATTGAATTTTGGAAAAAAACGGCACGGGACCTTTTTAGATCTCAAGTACAGATGTAAATAATTATTGATGTTTTGCTATGAATAAAAATTACATATTTAAAATTTTTGACCCTTTCGTTTACAGTTTGCCCGTTTGACTTGATAAACGGAATTAACATATTTTCAAAAGTGTTGATAACCATAAACGCATTTTTATAACCTTTTACCAGAGCCAACCAGAGCAGCGGTAACCGCAGGGCAGCACATGTGATTGCGCGCTAATCGTTTAGGACGTTTATGATCTACTGAAATCATTGGAGTTCATACTCGTTTCAGGATGAAATAAGTTTGTGAATTACTTAACCCGTTTGGTTTCCCGTGACAGGTACGGCATTATTATTTTGTTCAATAAAACATGTCCGTTGGCGAACCGTTGTAAGACAAAACGACGTCATTTCCGACATCAGTATGTGTTGGAAAGATGTATATTATGCCATTATGATTGTTTGAATACTTAAACGGTTATAAATTATCGACTGTGCAATGCATACATTTAACTATAATATGCTCACCATGGCGGTTGTTGCCGCCGAGGTCAACCGTGTCGAAACGGTCAATTTGGTTCCTCTCATGTGTATGTATATAAGTAAGCGCGCACGAGGCGATTTTTTTATATTTTTTATTATAATATTTTCCCTATACTATATTGTCCTCGACCGGTGATAATGATAAACCAGAAGCCGCGTACGATTAAAAAAAATAATAACAAAGGGCTTTTTTTTATAGTAAAGTGTAGAAAATGGATGGTAGGTGCAACGTCAATCTTTTATTATTATATATCGCATCAAGGCTGAAATATTTCTATTTTCTTTTTTTTGGTCCTGTTCAAAAAAACAAGGCTTACAAATTTGATATGAGCATTTGGGGTATTGTTATCATAATCGGAGACGGGTGTAAGTATGTCTCTAAACCAATTGGATCGATCGATTGTCCAAATTAATTCTTCTTAATTATCTCCATTTGTAAATGTAATTTATAGACACATCAAGTTGTACAGAGATGTAATTTTAATGGTGCATTATAATATTATGTAGTATGGGGGTGTATCAAGATTTTGTATCTTGTACCATCTGCGCTTGATTTATTTTTCTTAATTTTTTTTTTTGCGTCTTAATTAAATACTTAAATAAGTAAAATTGCTTTTAGTGATTCGAAACCGAACCGGTGAACGTTATTTTTCGCTTGATTACATCTGTAATAATGGTAAATAAATAATAATTCAGTTATTCTCGACGAGTATCGCTTTAAACCTTTCTAAATAACCGAATTATTTTTAAATGAATTTCATTTGAGGTATAAATGTGTATTGTTTTAATTATATACAATATTCATGTTAGGTAAAGTCTTACACTGGTCAAACGATTTTTAATTAGTCCTCAGATAGTTGTAAGTTAGCAAAATGTGATACTTATTTTTGACTGTATAAATAGATATTAAAAAAAAAATGTAGTTGGTTGGGGAGGGGAAGGAGGGGGTCGACGAATATATTTTAAAGCGAGCTGCAATTTTTTTATTCATAGCTTTTTAAATCCCCAAGGCGTGTAAGCTAATAGATAGTGAGTGTATAGCATGTGTACAAAACAAATTGGGTTGTAAAAAGTTTATGAGTATCACTGGTAGGTAGGGTTTGTTTTTATACGACTGCATAGTAAATATTTTTGCATTATTATTGTAATAAATTTTAATAGTTTCGGCTAAAAACGGCAATTTATCCTTTTCGGAGCGAACACAATCATTGTAACAATACTGTTATTATTATTACTGTATATTATAATATTGTATATAATATACGAGGTGACAACACGTGTGAGCGTTTTGTCTCTTAAGTCTTATGGTATAATACATAGGCAAATGATACGCACGAGTGTTGTAAAGCACTCTATTTTTGTATACATGTTCTTCGAGCCCGTCTTATATATTATATTATTATATGGTACTCAGTACATAACGACGGAATAATAATATACTTGTGCGAATTTTCGCCCTCCATGGGGGACCGGCTGGCTGTTATAGTGTCTATGTATAACCGTAATACGTTTCCAGCAAACAAAAGTTTTCAGCATGCGATTTATTGAAATCTAATACCGAAAGTTTTCACCTATTATCCCGTTAAATTACAAATCATAAACACTGATCGGTCGAGTTCTAACCGATTATTTTGTGGTCATTGGCGGGACTTAATTTTCCAACGTGAACCTACCTCAAGAATCCCTCCCCCTCCCCCAAAAAAACCGAAAAAGGTTCAGACGAATGTTGCGGTGAAATTAGGGCAGTCATGAAAAAAATGTCTAAGCAATGTTTTTAAAAAGGGTTTTCTACATTGTTTTCTTTTTATTATTCTGTGTGATTTTTATTTATTATGTATTACATATACCTACTTTTTATTATGTTTTTATGTTTTACTATATTTCTATATTTTTTTAAAAATTGTTCGTACTGTTTATTAAACTACCATCTTATGTGTCGTAGACTATTACTGTTTATTATGTGTTCTTAAACTGTACTTGTAGCAATAACGACTGATAGTTAAACTGTGTCACACTATAGGCAACCTGGTAAACGGGCAGTCGGCTTTATTATGACTTTAAATAAAAGTTGTTCTCTCTTTTTGCGCATAAATATTCTGTTGAAAATCAAAATAATCCGGCCAGTTGTCGATTGGATTCATTTTTGTACTTGGCCATTTTAGCCGTTGAATTAAATTGCTTTGGCCGTTTCGCCGGTTGAATGTAATTTACTTGGCCAATTTTACTTTGTGTATATCCGACCATTTTATGCGTGGGTTTCGTTTCAATGGGTTTTACGGTTGTTTACACAATATAACTATTTCATTGCTTTTGAAATTCAAGAAATGCGAATGTGTTTTGATATATATATATATTTTTTTAAATTCGAAAACCGATTAGACGGGTTAATGTCCAGATGAAAAGATAAGTAATGACTTTATTATTATATTAACGAGGCGTTGGCGTTAAGTCAATATTTCCCAGTGTGTGTATTATAATGGCGGATGTATTGATTTTTATTTCATTTGTACATTTTTTTGTTCCCCATTTTAAAAAACGAACAAAGCACTTGTGCGGGGATAATGAAGGGCGCCGGAGAGGAGGGTTTGTGCGTTTTCAAAAACCAAAACCACTATTGTCGGAAATGCATTGGCCCCCGAGT